CCCTGGAATGACATGAGATCTTGGGCCAAATTGTAAAATGGGCCAAATTGCAAAATGGTGGCTAGGAGACCAACACAGCTAGCTGCTGGTGTCACTTGTAGCAACAAAAACAACAAAAAATTGGGAGAAGACAACAAAGCTGTTTTCCCCCCAGCCGGAACTCACTTCTTAGGGGCTCAGCAAGTTCCACCACCTCTTTTCTAGAAAAAAAAAGCCCTGGTTGATCCCTCTGGGGAATTTCAGTGAAATAATCTCTTTTCTACATGCAGACACACACTTCTCTGCTCACAAGACATTGAAGAATTTTGAGGAATCATTTGTGCATATCTCTAGTCCTATCTTGGTCCTGAAAAAAAAAAAAAACATATTTCATGTAAGAAGTTGGTCCATATACTTGGTCCTACATAAACAGTAAATGAGTTTATCTTGTGCAATGGTGGATTATGAAGATCAGAAATGAGGCCTTAGATCAGATATAAGGTTACTGTGAATTTTCAGATATTGTTGGAGTACAAATCCCATCTTCCTTGACTACTGGCCCTTTTGGTTGGGGCTGATAGGAGTCCAGCTATTTCCTGAGGGCCACAAGTTCTCCATCTCTGCCCAAGATTATGATCCAGCTTATCCCTTCCATCAATACCTTTATCAATAAGGGAGTCTCTAGGGTACAGCTCCCTCCCCCATTATTCAGCAACATTGGAAGTCTGTGGTCTGTTGGGAAGGTTCCCCGCCAAGTTCTCACTCACATGCTAGGACCACCATTTCTGAGAAATGGAACAAATCTGATGTTGAAAGGGCCCCTTTGCTCTCAGATTTCCTACTGGTCATTGCTCCTGCCCTTAAGGGGAGGTGCAAAGGATTTCAGCAGTTCCATCATTTACAAAGCATGGACTTTATCATTGTACAACTCTAAAGGAAGACATCTTTCTTTCAGTTGGCTTTTAAATCAGGGGATAGCTTATACTCCCTTCAGTTTGAGAACACTTTGTGTGGGGCATCCAGAATGAAGGAAAACAGTGACCAAAAAATCGCATACAGAACATCTGGTCCAATACATCTCTTGCTAATAGTATAAAGTCACAAAAGCTATACACATCTGAGAGGGCTCACAGCTGTCCAAGAATCCCATTTATTTCCCAGAACTGGCATAAAAGGAGGAACAAACTATGACTTGTATAACTTGAGAGTTATAGAATGTGATTAGGCAAACCTTCAGAAATATGAAACTGCTTTCTGGACTCTGGAGCAAGCCTTTTGATGAGGCCCTCCAAGGCAAGGACCACCTTTGGCCTACTAGAATTTGGAGAAATAAAATACTGCTCTTATTAATGTCCAAGGAAGAAGCCAAACACAGGAACTGAAGACAGGAAACCCAGTATTTGTTTTACATGACAAGTATATCAGAGCTATAAAGCACTTTAAAAAAAAATCAGGGTGTCAAGCAGTATTTATGTACAAGACTCTGTTCCATAGGAAGATGGGTTATTGGCATAAAGCCCAACATGTTGTGTGTACAGGGCCAGATTTGCTGTGGTATAAAAAGGAGGGAGAGGGACACTGAAGGTCTTGCTCACAGCATCTTTTTGATGCTTGCTGTTTTGCCCTGGTTTTCTTTCTTTAGTTCAAATGGTGTAACTCAAAAACTAGCAACACCAACAGGGATTGGTCCAATTAATCAAGGATGTCACCTCACCTACTTGGTGTTTGGAATGTGCTTTGTCACGTAACACTCACAGGTTAAGAGAGCCCAAATCTCTCTATTTAAACTCTCACTTCCTTCAATGTTCCTTTTAGCTTTAAACTTTTGTCCTCCAGAAAAAAGCTATTCCTGGAAAGTGTGCTCCTTGTGCATAAACTTTTCCATATGGTCCCATTTGAAGCATGATGGGTTGCACTACTTGAAAAGTTAATGGAAAGTTTCCGATGTGAAAGAACATGTCACCTACCATGTTTCTACAGGACTTTCCATGCCACTCATTGAGTTTATGAAGCAAAATCAGATGTTCACTAAACCGATCTTAGCACTATTCCATGTATCCTCTTTAGCGTTGCGAAGCCGTTTTGCTATTTAATCCTTAAATAATTTTGTCTTAATACCTCTGCATCTAGCACTTTTTTTATAACGACAGTAAGAAATCTGGCTTCTAGTTCCTGCACTTGGCACCTTTGAGGAAACTTTGGCTGTATATTTACAGTGTATATTTATTAGTAGTGAAGTTTACTGGCAAGCTTTATTGTACCTGGCTTGTCTTCTGTATTCTAGCAATTGATTGACATTATTATCAACTTATATTGTGTCATGTTTTAGTGACTGATTCTGCCAATCTTGCAGTGGATCTGTACCAAGATTGTTTAATCTGTATTTAACTGATTTAGACTACAATTGTAATCCTATTTACTTATGAGTGAGGAGGGGCAAATTGGTGGAGAGTGTCATAGCTTTAAGAAATGTGGTTTATTCACCTGTTTACACCTTCAATCTGCATGGATGGAGCCCAGATCTTACAGCATGGTCATTTCAAGAAGGGTTTGTCCCCCACAGCAGTGCAGCCCTGGAGTCAAAGGCATCTCTCCCAGCCAGCCTGCCCAAGATGGATCTCTGTCTTCTCCCTCTTCTTCTTCTTCAAAGCATACCTTGCTCTAAAGTCTCTCTTTTCCTGGCCACTTAAACACCCCCCATCACCATGGCATCCTCTGTCTGTCCAGGCCCCAAAATTCCTCTTAGATGGGCCACCAACGCCTTTTGTGAGGCTGTCCTTAGACATTGGTTTTGAACACATGGCTTGACGGTCCCCGCTACTGCTCTGTTATATTGTATATATGAACTTTGATTGGCTTACTCCTATAATTTGAATGATATCATTATTCTATTATATATTTTCTACTAACTATTAGCCTACATGATGTGTTTGTCCCTGTGTTGTGAGCGTTTGGGGCAGATGTACGTGGGAAAGGAGCATACAAGTTGAAATAGCATATGGTAAAATAAAAGAATAAACTGCAGCTGATAACTTTCAAAATTTTGCTATATTTGGATGTCCACTTTTCTTTAAAAAAGCAAAACAAACAAACCTGGCTGTCTTTCAATGGAAGAGCCCCTTCATTTACAAAGTTGTCACTTGCAATCTTTTTTTCTTTAAAGCCAAACACTTGGAAGGAATTCCTAGATAAGGTAGGTGTGGACCAAAATAGTCCTTGACAGCCCCACAATTCACTCATTTCCTAACATAGCTGGCTGTGCACTGTATTTTAGCCTAAACAATAAGGTCATTGTTCGGACAAGAAAACATGCCCAGTTTATTTAAAGGTTAGCAGGACTCGAAAGCTATAGGCACTAGCCAGGCTTTGGCATGTTCGGTTTTTTGTCATCGCAGGTAAAATGTTCTCAAAATGTCCACAGCTATGTGCAATTGATAGAAATATCATCAGAATCCTACCGCACGTATTCTCAACCATGAACAAGGCATGGGTTGCTAGCATTTGCACGCACACATGCAAATTGTTGCCAGTGGTCTAGTTCTGACTGTAAGCAGGATGTTGACTTGGTGTGTACATTTTCCCCACTAAGGTCAAGTCTAAAAATACTCCAGAATAACTTCTTTTTGCCCTTCATGAACTGTTTGGCATTCAAGGAGTCTGAGTCTCGCTATAGAAGACATTTCCCTGTATTATGGAAAACTTAACAAGGGGCTTTAAATCTGGAGGGCACCTGTATTCTTCTCTCTTCCATAAATCTTTCCAAAGATATATGCACCTGAATCAAAACAGGATTGAATTAGAACACATTTGGGGGAGGGGAGGGAATGTCTTATAACAAATCATGTTCCTGAAAGTAAGAACAAAATTATTTTCTCTATCATGAGACGAAGGCTCTAGTACAACCGTAAAAAAGAAAAAGGTAAAGGACCCCTGAACGGTTAAGGCCAGTCAAAGGCAACTATGGTGTTGTGGTGCTCATCTCGCTTTCAGGCCAAGGGAGTCGGCGTTTGTCCACAGACAGCTTTCCGGGTCATGTGGCCAGCATGACTAAACTGTTTCTGGCACAATGGGACACTACGACGGAAGCCAGAGCACATGGAAATGCCGTTTACCTTTCCGCCACAGTGGTAACTATTTATCTACTTGCACTGGTGTGCTTTCAAACTGCTAGGTTGGCAGGAGCTGGGACAGAGCAATGGGAGCTCACCCCGTTGCAGGGATTCGAACCGCCAACCATCTGATTTGGAAGCCCAAGAGGCTCAGTGGTTTAGACCACAGCGCCACCCACATCCCTACTCATTATCTGGAATGGAGCATGCCCTTGTAGTCCTGCACATGCTCTTCACATGCAGAGCACTTGCATCAGGAGTGGAACCATGAAACCAGCCCCATCCCAGACAGTTCATGGATGGGCTAGTCCCATTCCTGATATCCTCACTCAGTGCCTTTCTATTTGGCACCTGATGATTCCTTGTCTCCATGCTGAAACCACAAAGAACATAACATATCAAAAGCATCCTAGCTCTCAGGAGAGGCTGTGCAAGCCCTTGATCAGTGGCTGGACTAACTGATGAGGGCCAAGAAGTTTAGCTCGAATCTTGGTGAGACAAGAAGCACTCTGGGTCTGGATGAGGTTACATTCCCTTTAAAGGAGCAAGTTAGTGGTCTGTGGTACTCCAGCACTGTCACTGGAAGCTCAGATAGCTTCAGTGGCTCAGGTGTCCTTTTAATAGCCTTGGCTGGTGAGACAGCTATGGTCATTGTGTGGCGAGGCCCCGCTACCACCCTATTCCCTAAGGTACAAATAACCAGACAACGCACAGCTTATTGGGATTTTGGGATCAAAGAAAGCCACAACTTTATTGGTTACAGATATGAAAGGTTTGGCCATAGGCATTAAGGTAAGCAACGGCACATGTTACTCCTGCCTGTCTGCCAGGAGTATTTCGAAGGGTGTGTGGCGATCACACAGGGTCCCCAGACGTTTGACAGTCTATTGATCCCTGTGCCACCACTATGATCACTTCCCTGCTGCCACCAACCCATTTCTCTCAGGTACACACTGAGTCCAGACAGTTGTTAACATTAAAACAAATAGTCAAGTTTATTTTATAAGCATGAACAAGTTTATGGTTTCAGATAAATTTTCTTGTCAGTTTCTTAATCTTAGTTTCTTTACTGACCTATACCTTCCTAATAACTTCTAACTGATTATCCCAACTGTCTGACTCCTCCTAACAGTTCCTCTCACTCTCTCACATCAAAACTAGACCAACCCACAGACTTATCCTCCCTCTTCCTTCTCCAACTCCCAACTGACTTCCCAACAACTCCAACTCTAACTTCTCCCCGTGGGTTCCCACTGGCTAATCACTTCACCCTCATTTAACCCTTTCCTTAAGACCCACCTAGGAGGGCAAACGCCATAGGTGAAACCAGCAGAGGGAGGGAATGCCCTATGACCTACGTCAAATCAGGGCATCCCCCAAGTGGTCCCCGTTGGAGGAGTGGTATGGTCATAGCCCCCGTCTGGGCATCAGACAGGAGTCACTCCTCCCGGATCCTTTTAACAGGATACCCTTACCCATGGAGGGGCAGGCAGGGGCTACAACCTCTCCTGCAACCAAGACTAGGCTAACCCAATGCCTCAGAAAGTTGTGACTATTGCTATGAAGTAGGAGAAAACCCAAATGGCGGTGCCATTTTGCCAGATGGGGAAAATTCCTGACCGGCTCCTGAATCCGGCAACCAGCATTACCCATAACAAGGTCATACCATTGGTAAATAACCCTAATCTGATGGTGCGCGGAAGAACTGGAGCAGAGGGAGAGAGGCCGAAAGGCCCAGCTGCCCGGGTATTTATCCTTCCCCTGCCAAGCCCTGCTACTAGTGGGTTGGCACCACGCCCAGGTGATGCCCCCTGAATGCCTGCTGCCATTGGCCAATTTGGCAGTAGGAGTACTATCCGCCTGACAATAAGCTGGTTCATAGGGGGGACGTGGTGCCTGCCCACAAAGCCGCCACCCCCAGAGGGTAAACAGACTTCCTTGACCAGGAGAGGTTACACATAGTTGTCCATCCAGTGGTTGTATGGCTTGATTACTGTCATCGGCTTTATGTGGTGCTACGCTGAAAGCTTCAGCTGGTATAGAATGTAAGCAGCCCAACTACTTGTGGGACAACTTTCTGACAGCAAATAACACCTGCACTGGCCAGCCTAGGATCAGGGTTTGGGACACGGGTGGCACTGTGGTCTAAGCCACTGAGCCTCTTGGGCTTGCCAGTCAGAAGGTTGGCAGTTTGAATCCCCACAACGGAATGAGCTCCCATTGCTCTGTCCCAGCCCCTGTCAACCTAGCAGTTGGAAAGCACGCCAGTGCAAGCAGATAAATAGGTATCACTATGGCAGGAAGGTAAATGGCATTTCTGTGTGCTCTGGCTTCCATCATGGTGTTCCGTTCACCAGAAGCAGTTCAGTCATGCTGGCCACATGACCCAGAAAGTTGTCTGTGGACAAACGCCGGCTCCATCAGCCTGAAAGCGAGATGAGCGCCTCAACTCCATAGTCGCCTTTGACTGGACTTAATCGTCCAGGGGTCCTTTACCTTTTTAAAAAAACCAAGATTTGATACCAGTTTACAAAGCCCTAAACAACCTGGGTCCAGGGTTCCTTAAAGACTGCCTCACTCCCTATAGGCCTGCTAGATAGCAGATATCACCAGGGGCAGAACTTCTGGAGCTGCCTCATGACCCAGAAATCAAATTCCTGTATACTCAGAAGAGAACATTCAACACAGTAGTCGCTTGCACTATGGATTTTGGCATGTAATGAACACATTTTTATTTTAGCAAGCATTTGTTGAATATTAATCTTATCTGATCGCCTTTAAGACCCTACTGTTTTACTTGGGATATATGCTGTTCTGAAATTGTTTCTGTTCTAAATCATTTAGCGATCCGTGCACGTAATCGATTCATAAATATTTAAAATAGATAAATAAAACAGAATCAGTTTAATGGCTGCTGCCGAGAGAGCAGAGATGGCTCAAGAGATATTGACTAATTCTCCCGAATTAAAGGATATAAATAAAAGACACTTTTGTACTCACACCATCTTTTGAAGATGCCACACAAAAATGAATACTTCCAGATTTTTAAAATCACATAAGTAGCAAGGAAGACATCTGGAAGACTCATCGGCTACATGTAACTAATTCTTTTTAATGGTCTCAACTGGATAGCTTCTTCTATTTTAAATTAGATTTACTCTTAAGAAATAAAATGCTCTATGTTCGTTTTTAACAGCACCACTGCATCTTGCCTAATGACAGTGATCTTTCCCTCATTTTTAAAGAATGTTAATGTTGCATTTGCTAAGTGCATGGTTAGGAGCTTGGAGCACTGTGCCCCCTTTTCTCTCCCTGCTTGTCCTCTCAAAGAAGATTTCACGTTGCCTTTGATTCCTATGTTATGAAACCCCTCTTCCCTCCCAGAGCTACAATTCCAAGAGTTCCATGAGAAGAGGGATTGGCTGTTAAGCCACTCTGGGAATTGTAGCTCTGGGAGGGGAAGCCATGACTATTTAAAATGGTATGAAGATGCTTAAAATATATAGTGTGAATGCGGCCTATAATAGCACTTAGGGCCGTCTTTACCCGGGGGTGCAAGGGGTGCGTGGCACCCTGGCGCTGAATTCTAGGGGGGGGGGGCGCCAGGTGCCCGCTGCTGAAAACGCCTAAGCTCTTAACCATCTAACTGTTATGAAATAATAAATAATTTTGATCAAGCTGACATTCAAAGCTGGCTGACGCTGCTGCCTCCACCCTGGCCGCTTTCTCCTCCCCGGAGTCCCGCCCTGAATGGAGAGGCATTGCTCTCTCACCTGCTATTGGCACGGCTGCTGCATCCCTCTTCTTCTCCTTCCTCCTCCTGGGGAGCTTTTAAAAGCACCCGGATGTGAAGCTGCACACCTTTGCGGAGCTTGGGCGCCTGGCTCTTGAGGGGCGATGGCAGCAAGACTCGGAAGAGCATGACGCTGCCGATGCCGCCATGGCCTCACCTGCAACTGCAGAGAAGTATATCTTGGGTGTCGACGTGGGCAGCACTAAATTTGGGGCGCTGGGCGGATCTTTGCACCCCGGCAGCGCATATGGTAAAGACGGCCCTGATTGCACTACATGAATTGGCTGGTGTGTGATAATACTACTAATAATAATTGTATTATTTATTCCTCACCCACCTGGCTGGGTTGCTCCAACCACTCTGGACGGCTTCCAACGCATATAAAAACATATATAGTGAAAATAGCGGCAGTCTAGAAGCACCCTTTGTCATTTTTAGCTGCTTGCCACAAAAGCAGCGGAAGATTTCTCCCAGAGAATCACAAGTACTGCAAATAAGCATTGCAAAGGTTCAAAGTTTCAAATCAGCAAAAGAAATCGGATCTCCCTGTTGCACGTAGAAATGTCTTAAGAAGTTGCAAGAAAATTCATAAAAATTGTAATAAAGCAACACTGCTAGGGGACACTATTAAGGGACATAAGATGCCCATGCAAAGTTGGGTTCATGTAGGTTTGTTCATTTTAGATGTTAATACCTATTGCTACTTCAATAATAGCAAACTAATTGCAAGAAAATGTTAATGATTGGCTTTTTAAAGGAGGGAAAAAGAGTGCTGATTACTAACTGTGATCTCAGTGGAAAAGAAGAATTAAGCATGAATAAAATTTGAAGACGTTGCTTTTATTAAGCTGAGTATTGTTCACTGTTGGCCATGACTGCACAATCAATAAATCCCTGCGATAGTTGCATTGCCTACCTAGAATCATAGAACTGTAGAGCTGGAAGGAACCCTAAGAATTATCTAGTCCAACCTGCTGCAATGCGGGAATCTCAATTAGATCATACATGGCAGATAGCCATTCAACCTCTTCTAAAAGAAACCTTCAAGGAAAGAGAGTCCACCACCTCTCGAGGTAGTCTATTCCACTGTCACACAGCATTTACTGTCAGAAAGTTCTTCCTGGTGTTTGGTTGGAATCACCTTTCTTGTAACTTGGATCCGTTGGTTTGGGTCCTATCCTCAGCAGCAGTTGGAATCCCACAACATCATCGGGAGAGTCACAAAATCCTTTGTAGGAACTTTACACTGTATGGAGACCTTGATCGGAGTTAGGTAGGTGTATGGGTGCAGAGACATCACCTTGCCGACAAAGGTCCATATAGTTAAAGCTATGGTTTTCCCAGTAGTGATGTATGGAAGTGAGAGCTGGACCATAAAGAAGGCTGATCACTGAAGAATTGATGCTTTTGAATTATGGTGCTGGAGGAGACTCTTGAGAGTCCCATGGACTGCAAGAAGATCAAACCCATCCATTCTGAAGGAAATCAGCCCTGAGTGCTCACTGGAAGGACAGATCATGAAGCTGAGGCTCCAATACTTTGGCCACCTCATGAGAAGAGAAGACTCCCTGGAAAAGACCCTGATGTTGGGAAAGATGGAGGGCACAAGGAGAAGGGGACGACAGAGGACGACAGAGGACGAGATGGTTGGATAGTGTTCTCGAAGCTACCAGCATGAGTTTGACCAAACTGCAGGAGGCAGTGGAAGACAGCAGTGCCTGTCGTGCTCTGGTCCATGGGGTCACGACTAAACGACTAAACAACAACAGCAAATGGGTGCTTAAAAACACAATAGTTCACTTCCATCCCAGTGAATAGGGTTGAAGTCATTTCTTGGGTTAGGAATGAAGAAGGGAGCTTGGACTTTTGTTTGCTCTCTAAGGCACAGAGATCCGTCTGCCTGATCAACTTGCCCATTTAGAAGAATAAAAAAAGGGCTGCTAACAAAGTCACATCAGATGTTTGAGCAGGATTACACACACTTGCATTTAACCAATAGACTATAATTATAAAGGCAAGTTCACCTGATTAGTATCAACTTTACATCTTGTTTTCAAACCAAAGCCAAATATAATTAATAGGTATAAAAAAGTGGGAAGGAAACCACCATCACTTTGCCTACAGTGGTTTTCTTTTAATGGGAGCAGATGGAAAATCTTAAGGCATGGGCTTCATTTATATATAAATAAAACAAATCAGGACTAGTGAGCCAGTTGTAATTAAACTATGAAGTTAGCAATCATGTAGGGATACTGCTCCCTCCCAACCCCCAGCCCTACAGGGCTCCTGTGTCTGTCAGGGCAGAATTCAGCAAGGGAAAACTTATTCATCAATTGTGAGGAAAGCTGTCATAGTTAGGGGCTTATTGGTCTCCCCAAAGAAGGTGCTCCTGGAGAAATCTTGGAATTGCTCTTTACATTTAAGACAGATGCAATTATCTGAGCATAGTAGTGACTACAGTTGACTGAAAGAACTTCTGATTACTCATCATAGCATAGTGGCAGATCATCTGTTCTGCATAAACAAGCTCCCAGGTTCAATTCCTAGCATCTCCAGGTATGGCTAGGAGCATAGTTGTCAACTTACAGATTTGAAAATAAGGGATCAGCAGCCAAAATAAGGGACCTGCAGCCTCACCTGTTCCAGGCACTCCAGTGTTCCTGTCCTCCTGCAGTCTGGTCAAACTCATGCTGGTAGCTTCGAGAACACTGTCCAACCAACTTTGTAACCAGAGGTTCAACTGAATAGAATCTGAATCACATGCACCACAAGGCCTATGCAGCCTCAACTTAAGATGGCTCCCCGGCCTGGCTTTGCACTGCAAAGTTTGCAGCAGCACGTGCAACAAGATGGCGTCCAGCATTCAAAAACCCCCTCAGCTTGCATTAACTAGCCACACACACACAGCCTCCCCCCCTCGCCATGAGATCGCCAGTCACCCACCATTTTAGTCAACCAGCTCCTTTCTTTCCCACCATAAGTCAATCGAAGGAGCCTCCAAAACAAATTCAAAAGCCCCCCCTCCCACGAGATCTCCTTTCCTTTTCCCCCACCATGTGTCCCCACTCCAGACAGACCTTTTCGCTGGCAAGGGTGAGTGGGCTGTCAATGACGTATCCATCCGATTCCGATCCGAGCACTCAGCACAGGTATGTTCAACTTCTGAGCCCCTCTGAGCCAAAGGCAGAAAGCCCAGCCAGCAGCCAAACGAAGCCTCAAGGAAAACCACCGTCACCTCTCCGCTGGGAAGCGCTGAGCAAAGGCGAAACCCCAGGCAACGCAGCCGATTTGATCAGCACAAGGCATGCAAGCTCCACCCCCCAGTCGTTCTTAGACTTCTTATTGGGTGAGTAACACAGCCAAGCAACACAGTTGGAGCCTCCCTCCTCCCTGGCCAGCAGGGAGGGACGGAGAGGAGCTGCTTCCTTTGAAATTTAAGGGACATCATTTAAGGGACATTTAAGGGACATTCATCAATAAGGGACAGCAGCGGGACATGGTGCTGGAATAAGGGACTGTCCCTCCAAATAAGGGACACTTGACAGCTATGGCTAGGAGACACCTCAGCCTGAAATCCTCCAGAGTCACTGCCAATTAGTGTAGACAATACAGTGGTACCTCGGGTTACAGATGCTTCAGGCTACATACACTTCAGGTTACAGACTCCGCGAACCCAGAAATAGTACCTCGGGTTAAGAACTTTGCTTTAGGATGAGAACAGAAATCGTGCTCCGGCGGCACAGCGGCAGCAGGAGGCCCCATTAGCTAAAGTGGTGCTTCAGGTTAAGAACAGTTTCAGTTTAAGAACGGACCTCCAGAATGAATTAAGTACTTAACCCAAGGTACCACTGTACTGGGCAAGATAGGCTAATGGTCTGACTGGTATATGGCAGCTTCTTATATCCTATACTTGCGGTTCCTCTTATTGCAGATACAAGAATGTTGTTGAAGCTCAGGAAGCCTTATGCATCGAAGACTGGAAGATTATGAAGAAGGGGATTACTGATCCAAAGAGACCCTGGGAATCTGGATATAACCCTTTGTTGTTATGGCTCCTCTGGTTCCTGTTTTCTTTTCAAGTTAGCACATCCATTGCCCTCCATTGTTCCATGATCCCCAGTAAATGCAAAAAGTTTTCCACTTACCCCTCAGTTACAGATTGATAACAATGGCCTGGTAAAACTCTACCCAACCTGGTGTCCTCCAGATGCCATTGGATTCCAACTCCCATCAACCTCAACCAGCATGGCTACGCCCCTATCTGGACAGGGATAGCTTAACTACTGTTGTCTTTGCTCTGGAAACCTCAGGGTTAGATTACTGCAATGCATTATACACAGGGCTGTCTCTGAAGATGGTTTGGAAACTTCAGCTAGTGCAAAATTCAGCAGCCAGGTTGCTCACTGGAGCAAGACGGTTTGAGCACATTACACCGATCCTGGTCTGACTGCACTGGCTACCAATTAGTTTCTGGGCCCAATTGAAAGTGCTGGTTTTGACCTATAAAGCCTTAAAAGGCTCAGGACCACAATACCTCAAGGGCCACCTCTTTCCATATTAACCTATCCAGACCCTGAGATAATCTTCTGAGGCCCTTCTTTGTGTGCCTCCTCCTCGAGAGGTCCGGAGGGTGGCAACACGAAAATGGGCCTTCTCTGCAGTGGCTCCCCATCTGTGGAATGCTTTCCCCAGGGAAGTTCGTCTGGCGCCTTCAGTGTACACCTTTAGGCACCAGGCAAAAGGGTTCCTTTTTAACCAGGCCTTTGTTGACCTGATCAACATCCTATAGCTTTTTAAAATGTGGCTCTTTTGAGGGGGGGTATTATTGGGTTATTGCTTTTATTTTTATTTTATATATTTTGATCTTTTCTGTGAACCACCCTGAGACCTCCGGGTAAAGGGCAGTATTTAAATTCAATAAATATATAAATAAAATAATGGTCAGGAATGTTGGGAACTGTGGTTCAACAACATTAGTGGGTGCTCAGGTTGGCCCTTGTCCATGAGTTAGGCTGCAGATATGGCAATCCCTGTGTCATTCAGGCAAGGGCAAACTGTGTGTGTACACCAAATTAAGAAAAATATGAGTGGAAAAGGGAAGTTCTTCTCTTGCTGTGCTGGGCACAATCCGGTAAAAAGGGATAGGCTCTGGACATTCATTGCACCCAGGGATGGACCAGAGCAGAGCATAAATCACATAGTTTCTGCTATTCCAACTCTAAGTGTGATTGAACAGATGTGTAGCCTCCCTAATGGTTCATTTTGGACATAACACTAAACCATGGTTTAGTGCAGCCTTCACTACTGTAGTGTCCTCCAGATATTTTAGTCTACATCTGGGAGTTGTCATTCAAAACATCTGGAGGGCATCAGGCTGACAAAGGCTGCTTTAGTGTTTTGTGGCCCAATCTTAAAGGTAAAGGTAAAGGGACCCCTGACCATTAGGTCCAGTCGTGGCCGACTCTGGGGTTGCGGCGCTCATCTCGCTTAATTGGCTGAGGGAACCGGTGTACAGCTTCCAGGTCATGTGGCCAGCATGACTAAGCCGCTTCTGGCGAACCAGAGCAGAGCACGGAAACGCCGTTTACCTTCCCACCGGAGCGGTACCTATTTATCTACTTGCACTTTGACGTGCTTTCAAACTGCTAGGTTGGCAGGAGCAGGGACCGAGCAACGGGAGCTCACCCCGTCACGAGGATTCAAATCACTGACCTTCTGATCGGCAAGCCCTAGGCTCTGTGGTTTAACCCACAGTGCCACCCGTGTCTTGGCCCAATCTTACCTGACCTTTAAGCAAGGAAAGAAGGGCACTTCGTGATCTTAAATAGCTGCAACCCATTTGTTTCTCCTTGCTGGGTCCTATCAACACGTGTGCTTATATCTCACAAAGTATATTTCAATAGATCACATGGCCTAATTAAAAGTGGAAGCAACATGTGTCATTTGCATATTCTGCAACAAAGTGCCTATTAACATGCAAGGTTTTGTACAAGGTTTATTTTTGGAACTTAGATAACACACACACACACAAACATCCCAGCTCATTTTTGTGTGTATGACCCCTTTGTCTAGGTTATGTGTAAACAAAAGCTAGGAAAAAAACAAAAACTAAATAACCATGTGATTTTAAAAGGCAATAAGAAAATATTGTGATCTAAAATAAAAGTAACTTTTAAAAAAGAGGGTGCCAAAGCAAGGCCATGTAAGGAATGGTCTTTTTCCCATTTGGGAAAAAGGTTCCCACTGGAAACTGTTTAGAGTGCAATAATGAGTCACTGCCTAAGGAATCTTATCCCTGCATTATATAAATCATTGTTCATTCTGGAAAATAACACCACCAGCACATGGCATACAAATGTATTTATCGAAAACATGCCAAAACAATTTGTATAATTAGATTCAATTCAGTGAGAAATTTTGCCATTGAATTTGATAGACTTTAATACTTGTGGCTTCCTCTCCCTCCGATCATTAATTGGCTGAGAAATTCCTGCAATGGCAACAAATTAAACTCCAGACAGCTAATTCTCATTGATTATTAGCAGCTGTTGAGCTGTGTTTTTCCCCCTTTTAAAAACTTAACATTTGTGTGACACAGAGTGGTCAGCTTTAGTGTCAAGAATGAAAGAAACACTGGATCTTCATTACAAGGTTCGAAGAAGTGTTCAACATCCTATGCACATCACCCTTTTAGTCCTTCGTTTGAGCAAATGAACTTTTAAATCCTTCCAGCATGCTGACTCCAACCCTCCCTCCCTTTACACGCATTCACGCTAATTCCATTCTGTACAAGATCAGCTGTAATGTTTGCTCCTCTGTTCTTATGCTGTGTGCCTTAGACATGGCCACTAGGAGAGAGTTCCTGCACAATGGTCATCAAGAGGCAGGTGTGCCTGCTTCGTGCATCTGGACCAATGGGAGAGTGGCTCTGGTGCATGAATTTAAGATGGAACTCTGCCTCTCCAGCTTAACCTGACTGAGTGCAACACAACCCTCTTTCCCTAATTTCAGTATAGGGCCATGTAGGTTCTCCCACACACCCCAACCCGCATAAACCATATGGATGAGGGCTCTTTCACCTCTACCATTGGTCTTCAATAGGTGAATATGGATGCACTATGAGGTTGCAACTTAATCTAATATGGGTGGCGCCAATAGCACTGCCACCATGCAAACATATGATTTAAAAATTAAGAAATGCATGCTTTGGTTAAGAGTTCTGGGTGTGAAAATTTGAATGATCTACGTCGTACGGTGTACTTGGAGTAGTGACCCTTCACTGGTATTTGTTGTCTCAGTACACAGTCAACCAGATTACAAGTGGCAACAACATTAAGGGTTAAAAGAAGAACAGGTTGTAGGGTTACTAACAGTTTGTGAGTAACATGAGATGACATTTGGAGGGTAAAGAGGACCATCTGTACAGCAGGACCCCTTATGGCAGGGATGAATAACCTGTAGTTCTCCATATATTACTGGGCTACAACTCCCAACATTCATGACTGTTGGCCATGGTGACTGGGGCTGGTGGAGGTTGGAGCCCACATAACCTGGAGGACCATAGGTCTCCATCCTTTCTTCAGAGAAATCCCTAGATCATCAACCAAAGCTAATAGGGTTGGGATTGGGGTGTGACATGGCAGGCCTCCTGTAACACTTCCTTGGATGTGTGATGGTGAAGCAGCTGGGATCATTTGCAGGAACTCCTATGCCTGGGCTTAGAGCCAAGGTGGGGCTCAAACTATTTGGAGCCAAGACAGTGTTTCCAATACAATTCAGATGGCCAATCCTAGAGAACCAGAGGCCATAAAACAAACACTCTTTGTGACCCTTTCCAGCAATCCCTCGAAAAACACCAAAAGAGAGGACTCCTTCAAATGTGTGTAGTTTTTGTTAAATGGAGGCTCACCAACTTACTCACTCCTATAGAATAATGCCAATTATGTCAAGCCATACAACTTTTGCCACTCTGTATGCTTTCTTTCTCTGTTTGGCACTCTTGCTCTCAAGCACAGTAAACTTAACTAAGTCAACATGATCATAATTTTGATTTAAATATGGTAAATCTCTAGGCAATGTTGTGCAGACACTTGTGCTATGCAGTGATACAAGCAAATCCTGTCATTGTTCCAAGCTCGGTGGGAAAACTGCATTTCATACTTAATTTAAAATCAGGTTGAGAACAATAATCAAAAGCATCAAGATTAGTTTCCACGGAATAAAGCTATATATCTTCTTGGATCATAATCATAATTGTGTTCTCATGAAGCATTTATTATTCTGAAAACCACTATGACATTTATTTACTACCCCCAAATCTAGTAAAATGGAACTTGACACAAAAACTGCAAGAAAGAATACAATAGTTTCCTAATTTAAACCACGGGAATTCAAAGCAGAAAGAGTTTTAATTGTATTCCAATCCTGGTGGGCAATTTTTAAAATAGTTGTTAATCTTTGAAATCTTCTCACATTTTTTTCACAGGCAAGCCATGTTTGAAATATTATACTCTGAATGGTGGTTCCCCCAAGGGAATGGGGCAGAGGAGATGTTCCCATCCTTGTTTTGTCCCCTCTTGCCCTCCTCCCCCAAATGGATCTTTGCTGCAGCTGCTCCATTGCAGCCACCCAGCTCCAGTACTTGTTCCTTGTGCAAATGACTGGATGGTTTCCCACCCATTTCAGCAGCCATCACTGAATGAGAACTTTTAAAACTCAGACCTAGCACTGAAGCCCTGGTTCCTCATCCAAGAGCCATGGGGACTATATATCACAGCCTAGGACCCTCGTACCTACGGGACAGCCTCTCCCGGTATGCCCTACGGAGGACCTTAAGATCCATAAATAGCAACACCCTAGAGGTCCTGGGCCCTAAGGAAGTCAGATTAGCCTCAACCAGAGCCAGGGCCTTTTCAACACTGGCTCCGGCCTGGTGGAACGCTCTGTCTCATGAGACCAGGGCCCTGCAGGATCTGATTTCTTTCCGCAGGGCCTGTAAGACAGAGTTGTTCCACCTGGCCTTGGGCTTGGAATCAATTTGATTTCCTCCCTCTCTTTCTTTTTTCCTTTCTCCTTCTGTGATGGAACTCCTATTTGGGGACTTCCCTGGCTTTTTTCTGGCCCATGTAGGATCAGCCTGGATAGTTAGCCTTGGTGAAGACTTGACATTTTCATCCCCCAAAAAGGTTTTGATTTGAGTTTCCACTGAAATGAGGCTGCATATTAATGTTTTAATGTTGTATTTTAATCTTGTTTTTTAAGTTGTATTTCAATCAATTGTTTTTATATTGGGTGTTAGCCGCCCTGAGCCCCGTCTTGGCTATTATTATTATTATTATTATTATTATTATTACAGTGGTACCTCGGGTTAAGAACTTAATTCGTTCCGGAGGTCCGTTTTTAACCTGAAACTGTTCTTAACCTGAGGTACCACTTTAGCTAATGGGGCCTCCCACTGCTGCCATGCTGTTCTCATCTTGAAGCAAAGTTCTTAACCCAAGGTACTATTTCTGGGTTAGCGGAGTCTGTAACCTGAAGCGTATGTAACCCGAGTTACCACTGTATTATATGATTAGTCCAGTAGGCAGGACCCATAGCTCACATGCTTTGTGTGCTGAAGTTCCCAGCCTCAGTCTCTGGCATCTCCAGTTCATGCACAGGAACAGGAACCGGTGAAGCCAGCAGAAATCAAAACAGTCATCAGCCAAAACACAAGCAACAATATGCAAGGGTTTTGACTACACTGACTGGTAGCGGCATGCCAGTGTTTCAGGCAGAAGTATTTCCCAATCCTCTCTGGACATGCCAGGAATTGAATGTGGGACATTTTGCACACAAAACCGATGTTCCACCACTGCCATGTTTGAATTGTGTGTGTGTGTGTGTGTGTGTGTGTTTGTGTTGCAGTGGCCACTGAATGTATGACTGCAAACAACAGCAACAGTAATTACTAAATATGAAGTGAATATGCCTGAAGGTCATAAAATATCAGTTTGTATTCGGAGGTAAATAAAAGCTTGCCTTAATCAACACACCCCTAAACAAGGAAATAAGTGTAGCGCCTCCTATTTGAATATGCAAATTTATACTAGCTCCTACTGATTTATTTATTTTTTTACAGGCAAGTTAACAATCACATGACACATTTATATACTCTCCATAATTGAGTTCACCTGCTTGGGGTGAAGCTGCCTTATCAGTTTACTGATTTTGTAGGCAAACAGTTTAGTGTTGCTGTTCTGATAGGGAAATGGGTCCACGCCTGTTTTTAATTCCCACATCTTTCCTAGGAAGTTGCTGATGGAGTTCTCTGTGAAGGAGCTTCCCCAGTCCTTAGTACGATTCCACTCAGAACTGTGAAACCCATCAAAGGGAACAGAACCCATAAACTAAGCATAATGATATAGTAAGGATCCCTTTAGAGACGCGGGTGGTGCTGTGGGTTAAACCACAGAGCCTAGGACTTGCCGATCAGAAGGTCAGCAGTTTGAATCCCCGTGACGGGGTGAGCTCCCGTTGCTTGGTCCCTGCTCCTGCCAACCTAGCAGTTCGAAAGCACCTCAAAGTTCAAGTAGATAAAAAGGTATCGCTCCGGCGGTAAGGTAAACGGCGTTTCCGTGCGCTGCTCTAGTTCACCAGAAGCGGCTTAGTCATGCTGGCCACATGACCCAGAAGCTGTACGCCGGCTCCCTCGGCCAATAAAGTGAGATGAGCACCGCAACCCCAAAGTCGGCCACGACTGGACCTAATGGTCAGGGGTCCCTTTACCTTTACCTTTAAGGATCCCTTTGGCATGAAGCTTAATTAATAGTGTTAGTATAATTAACATGCTGGTGAATTTACCTAATCAAATCTCCTACCTTACATAGAATAAAGTAAAGGTAAAGGACCCCTGGAGGGTTAAGTCCAGTCAAAGGAGACTATGGGGATGCGGCTCATCTCCCTTTCAAACCAAGGGAGCTGGTGTTTGTCCACAGACAGCTTCCTGGGCCATGTAGCCAGCATCACTGAACTGCTTCTGGCATGACAGGACACCGTGATGAGTGCCAGAGCACACGGAAACGCTGTACATAGAATAACTATGTAAGAGTGTCGTCAAGCTGCATTTTCTATGGCTGCCAACAGATGGACCACAGTTTAACAGCAATCTGGGCTTTCAGAGTTGCTGGATCATTGCAGCAACATCAAAGGTGAGAAAAAAGGTACCAGGGTGTATGAGACCTATGGAGGTTTGGTAAGGTATAAGAGTAGGGGGAGGGTGGCTTTGATTAGGAGTAAGGGAATGCATAGTTTTGGCAAATTATAGGAGGGTTAAAGGTAAAGGGGCCCCTGACCATTAGGTCCAGTCGTGGCCGACTCTGGGGTTGCGGCACTCATCTCACTTTATTGGCCGAAGGAGCCGGCATACAGCTTCCGGGTCATGTGGCCAGCATGCATGACTAAGCCGCTTCTGGCGAACCAGAGCAGCGCACACTGTTTACCTTCCCACCGGAGCGGTACCTATTTATCTACTTGCACTTTGACATGCTTTCGAACTGCTAGGTTGGCAGAAGCAGGGACCAAGCAAGGGGAGCTCACCCCATCATGGGGATTCGAACCACCGACCTTCTGATCGGCAAGCCCTAGGCTCTGTGGTTTATCCCACAGCGCCACCTGCATCCCTATAGGAGGGTTAGCAATTTGTAAAGGGAGGAGGTGGGTGGGTTTTTGCAAGGAGTGAACAGAGGGGGTGGGTGCTTAATTCTCCCCAAGGACTTCAACATATTGTCCATGGTTCTCCCCCTCCCCATTTTATTCTCACAACAAACCATTGAAGTAGGTTAGGATTTGACTGGCCCAAGGTCAGCCAGCGAGCTTCATGGCTGAGTAAAGATGTCAACTGGGATCTCTCAGGCCCTAGCCCAACTCTCTGGCTGCTAATCTTTTGCAAGTCAACAGGATTTAGGTTCTCTAAATCAAACCTTCATCTGAACACAAGAGCAAAGTTAGTCTCCAGAAAGGCATGTATAGTGGATAAAAACATCTCAAAATACAGATGCGCTTTCACTTTCACGAGATTGAATATACTGCCTTCGGCTGTTCTTGAGGGTCGATTTCAAAAAATTCCACTGGAAAAACTTTTCCACTGAAAAGTTATGTCCATGTGGGGATGGCAATATTGAGTCAGTGGCTCATGTGCTTCTGGCTTGCACTCTTTATAAAGATTTGAGGAGTGAGGTCATTTTGTTGTTGTTTTTTAGTTGTTTAGTCCTGTCCGACTCTTCGTGACCCCCTGGACCAGAGCACGCCAGGCACTCCTGTCTTCCACTGCCTCCTGCAGTTTGGTCAAACTCATGCTGGTAGCTTCGAGAACACTATCCAACCATCTCGTCCTCTGTCGTCCCCTTCTCCTTGTGCCCTCCATCTTTCCCAGCATCAGGGTCTTTTCCAGGGAGTCTTCTCTTCTCATGAGGTGGCCAAAGTATTGGAGCCTCAGCTTCATGATCTGTCCTTCCAGTGAGCACTCAGGGCTGATTTCCTTAAGAATGGATAGGTTTGATCTTCTTGCAGTCCATGGGACTCTCAAGAGTCTCCTCCAGCACCATAATTCAAAAGCATTAATTCTTCGGCAATCAGCCTTCTTTATGGTCCAGCTCTCACTTCCATACATCACTACTGGGAAAACCATAGCTTTAACTATATGGACCTTTGTTGGCAAGGCAATGTCATTACCCCTCTGTTATTGTCCATGCCGGGTCGCTCAACCATTGCTACTGTGTCTTTTCTTCTAGCACAGTGGTTCTCAAGCTGTGGGTCCCCAGATGTTGTTGGACTACAACTCCCATCATCCCTGAGCCCTGGCCTTGCTAGCTAGGGGTGATGGGAGTTGTAGTTCAACAACATCTGGGGACCCATAGGTTGAGAAAGGCTGTGAGCAGATCAAGATGACCAGGTGACAGGGAAAATTGCAAGGTTTTTAGTGGGGGCAATTAGAATAAGATCTATTATTTGATTATTGTTGTAAACCTCCCAATGTATTTTGTATAGTTAAGTTTTTACCTCTATCTTCAGTACATTTCATTTCATTTCATTTCATTTCATTATGATGGCTAGAGGCTAATGCAAATAAAGATTTTTCTGAGCTGGATAAAAACATAAAAGCCCTGATAATTGTATCTTAACATCCTAACAAAAACATACATAGCGCCTTCTGTTGAGTCGTACTGTTGGCCCCTCACAAGACCAGTTATTCTAATTCCAACTGGCAGCAGAACTACAAGATCTCAGGGAAAGCTTTTTCCTTGTCATATTACCCAAGAACCACTTAACTAGAGATGAGGGAAATCTTCAGTTTTGGCACCTCAGTTTCCCCTTACCCCAGTCTTCAATGAAGTATTCCATTTCACCCATCAGTTTGCGAAAAGGCGTTTTTGAAAGTCCTCATGAAATGTATTCTCCTACTACATGCATTGATTGCAAACATTTTCTCAAATATAAAGCATTTTGTATGTTGTTTTCATGAGCACATGCATTTTTATGCACACCCTACCCTAATATATGCATTTTTGCTCACATTACCTGGCCAGGGAACTGCATTGCAAAATTCAAAGAAATGTGGATTTCGAACACTGGCTGCATTTTGTTTTGCATATTGCTTCAGGAAGTGTGTTCTAGTAGGTTTGCCTTTAAATGTGAACCGAACTGAATTTCTCCCCCATCAGTATTTGGACAGAAATCCTAACCCCATTTACTTGGGAGTAAGTCCTTTTTTTAATAATATATTTTTTATTAATTTTCAATTTTTTTGACAATATTATAACATCGTATCACCTTTCACAATTTTTTAGCTCTGCAGAGCTTTTGACTTCCCTCCATTCCGCCATCTGGATTTTATAAAACACATCTTATAACCACACATTTATATCATCTAACTTCTACATTTAACTTGAATGATTTAAAACTTAAAGCACAAGCAGAAAGTTTCTTCTTTTAAACGTTGTGAACTTTACCGCAGTCCGGCTAGTGTCTTTATAAATTTACTCCATTCTCCCTGGAGCACTTGGTCACTCTGGTTTCGGATTTCCCCTGTCAGCTTTGCCAATTCTGCATAGTCCATCATCTTCGTCTGCCATTCTTCTACTGTCGGTAATTCTTGCTGTTTCCACTTTTGGGCTAATAAAGTTCTAGCTGCCGTAGTAGCATACATAAACAGTTTCTGGCCAGCTTTTGATATTTCCACTTGGGAGTAAGTCCTGTTGAATTCAATAGAGGGTCAATACTAGAGGACAACCTCAGCCTCCATGATGACCTTGCATGAAAAGGCACATGCAATTGATTGCAAAGATCCAAATTGCTACATTTGATATGCTTGCTAAGTATTGGCAAAGCTAAGGCAGGGTGGCCCCTCCCCAAATACAACAATCCCATTCACGAAGCTGTATGTATGAATAAATGTGACTCAATCATTCTACACCATGAGAAGGATAATAACCTGAATTGTCTCAAAATGAGAGGTTTTCAAAGAATATTTGAAATATAAATATAGTAGTTTAAACTCTGTTGCAGCATTCGAGGAACTTCAGTAATAGTTGCAAGTTAGCCATAAGAGTTAAGATGTATTACGAAAATGTTAAATGATGATAAAAGTGTGTATTGGCAATAAGTAATAAGAAATTGGAATAAGGAATAGACAGGAGGTCAGGTCTATAGTGTTAAGACCAACTTATGTTTTATTGTTTGTTAATAAAATTTTGTGTTTATTGTTATTCCTGTGTGTAATTCTATATTTGTGTTTTCTCTTTTTTTCTTTTTCTTGCTGTATCATTAAAAAGAGAGAGAGAGAGAAGGATGATAACCTGCTCCACTTCAGCCCAAGGTGTTTATTAAGGCATGCCAAGATGTAAGTGGGCTGTTGTTGTAGGGTAAAGGGCATTGCGATCCTATGACGTAGCGATGTACTCTAATTCCCCGCAGCAAATATACAAACCACAGCCTTATATAAAACAGCTCAATAGAGGTAAGGCGGAAACAAGTCCTTCGTTTACAGCAGTCTTACGAATGAAGCTCAACTTTGATTTCTTTTTACTGTGGGAAAATTCCCTGCTGTATTAATAGCGTTCCCTTTTATAGATCCCTCATGCTTAACAAATTGAAAGGCACACTATTAATAGCGATTGCCATGGAAATGGAGGCACCTCTGGGACACAGCGTGAGTTGCACTTGGCGGCAGACAGAAGAAGTACCACACAAATGTTTGTGCAACGGAGCCACAGATTGCTTGGGCACAAACTTTGCGAATGTTTCTCATGTGATGACTATGATTATCATGTGATAGCCTGCTTTGATCATTAAGAAAACCCTCTAAGAAATGATGGCTCTTGATATACAATAGCTACTTTAGATTTTTCATTATAGTATTTTGATCTGATGTATCCAGTGAGACAAAGGTTTTGTGAATGCATCATTATGCTTAGCTTAAATGAAACTATTCTAATGGTTGCTATTATCTCTATCTATCTATCTATCTATCTTTCTATTTTTTATTAAATTTTCTATTTTACAATTTAAAGTACTCATTTTTACATCCTTAAAATAACAGTGACTTACCCTTCTTCTCTTTCCATGGTTCATTTTACATACTATAGATCCCTGCATATTTTACTGCTGCAATTTGAATGTGGGTTTGATTGGCTATACTTTATTGAAGGAGCATCTCCACCTCCATCATTCAGCCCAGGCACTGAGGTCCAGCTCTGAGGGCCTTCTGGTGGTTCCCTCACTGTGAGAAATGAGGTTACAGAGAACCAGACAGAGGGCCTTCTAGGTAGTGGCACCTGCCCTGTGGAACACCCTCCCTTCAGGTGTCAAAGAAATAAACAGCTATCTGACTTTTAGAAGACATCAGAAGGCAGCCCTGTTTAGGGAAGCTTGCAATATTTGATGAATTACTGTATTTTAATATTTTGCTGGAAGCCTCCCAGATGGGCGGGGAATAAATTATTATTATTATTATTATTATTATTATTATTATTATTATTTACATTGTTAGTCCCTCTGAACTATCTTGTGGGAGGAAGGTTGGGCTCTAAATGTAAGAAAACCCATCACTAACTAACTAATCAAGACAGGGGCCCATGGGAGAAGAGAGCACTGTTCCTCTAAAACCAAATTTAATGAGAAGTGCTTGTTCTTAGGATCATAACATAAGTTTTTATGTTATTTCAATATCTAACCTAATTAGTTGACATTAAGAAGAAGAAGGAACCTTCTATAATTTTTATAATTCTGCCTTTAAATCTGTAGAACAATCAGATCAGTTCAAGCAAAAAGCAGATTTATTATGCATTATGTATCCTGGATGCCTTCCTTCTGTTTCATAGTTGATTGAAAATGCAATGTTAATGCCTGTGGCAAACCAATGGATTTTTATTTTTTTTTAACAAGCATTACTGCCGTGTAACAAATATACATCTGAAGGGCTAGAGCTGATGCAGGAATAAAAGGCCCATGCAAACTTCACTGGCAAAGCATGCATTTTAAATAAAGCCTCAGTGAAGAGTAACAGAGACAGTCTCCATTCTCATTCTGAGTAATGTCTGCCTTTATTCAGCAGAACAGCCCACGAGGAAAGTAACAGACAAAGACATACCAGATGAAAAACATCACACTAACAAAATCCTTGTACGCAGGGCAAAAAATCTTATAATTGCCGACTGATGATATTTGCCTCTGAAAGTATGTGGGGAAGACAGTGGGAATGGGTAAGGGTTTTTTGTTTCGTTTTTAAAAAGGAAAAAAAAGTGTGAAAGAGAAAATATACAAAATAATGAGTGGGTGATGATGCTGTGCTTTGAAAATTTTATTCTAATCAAAATATCTGTGCTGTGGTTTGGGTTGTGGAGCCTCGTTCGGTTTCCCCGACTCAGCTCTGAAATGCTTAATCCAGTATCAAACAGCAAACACCGCTTGGCACTGATCCTCTTAAACCCAGACTGAGACCTTTGCCAACATTTCTTGATGAGGAGTGAAATTTGCCCGCACGTTCAAGATGGAATATGGCCCATGCTTATGATGTCAGAATGAGTCTTCCACTTTGGGTTCGGGCAGACTGAAGAAGTTAGTCAACCTATACATCTTTTCATGTTTATTTTTTAACCAATATGATAAAAATGGGCGCCTTACTACCAAAACATCATGCTGGTATTAATTAAAAGCCTATTGAACTCAATTGAAAGACATCAATGGGCCTCAATTAACTAATGTGTTTGTTTATGTAGAGATTACAATCCTGCTCAACACATGTCTTTGCACTAGTTACAGTGCATAAATAGCTGCAGTTTAAAATCACAATGCCCATGGACTTCAGTCCAAGCCCATTGATTATATATATATATATATATATATATATATATATATATATACACACACACACACATATACATATATATATACTTTATTGTCACTTGTACAACTTGTATACAGTGAGATTACATGAGCACCCCCCACTCAGCTCTCTTAGTCTTAATTCCCCTCGTTTACTGACGCACACCCACCACACCTGAAAGTCCGTTGCCCTGTTGCTACCTTTTCATTCAGCAGCCTAACAGCCCACAGATAGAAGCTGTTCTTTGCCTTGTTGGTGTGACTAATCATGCTTCTATATCTTCTGCCTGAGGGCAGGAGATCAAGAGAGTGCCAGCCAAGGTGTGAATCATCCCTGAGAATTTTCCTCACTCTGCTGAGGCAACGTTCTTCTGCTATTTCATCCAGCGGATTCATGGGACAGCCCATAATATCTTGTGCTGTATTCACCACTCTCTGTAGAGTTGATGTCAAACCAGCGTACCACACCGTGATGCAGTATGAAAGAACACTTTCTATTGTTGACCGGTAGAAGGAGATCATCAAATGTTGATTGACATTGTTCTTCCACAATACTCCTAGGAGATGGTGTCTCTGTTAGGCTTTCTTAACCACCTGGGTTGTATTTATTTTCCAAGTAAGGTCTTCACTGAGATAAACTCCTAGGAATTTAAAGGAAGAGACTCTCTCCACACACCCCTCCCCGATGTACAGTGGGGCTAGTTCTCCTCTCTTCCTCCGAAAGTCCAACACCATCTCCTTTGTCTTTCTGATATTAAGGTGCAAGTTGTTCCCTAGGCACCATGTAGATATTTTTTGGACCTCCCCTCTATATGCTGATTCGTCTCCACCTGTTATTAAACCCATTATGGTGGTATCATCTGCAAACTTAATAATTGCAGTAGACGGGTCAGATGATACACAATCGTATGTATACAATGCATACTATATAGGCCATTACATGCAATAGCATGTGTTAACTTGTGTGAAGTTGCGCTTAAGAGCCTGAGCCATACTTTCTTTCAGAGCATGAGATAGCTTCTAAAGAAGGAGCAGAAGAGCAGTAGGAGAAGGAAGATAATGAGAGAGAAACATAACTATACAATAATATGCACCAGATGTACATTTAACAATTGGAGAAGAGCCTGCTGGTTCAGGCTAATGGCCCATCTAGTACAACATCCTATTTTCACAGTGGCCAACCAGCTCATGGGTAGCCTGCAAGCAGGAGTTGAGCACAAGAGCAATCTCCCCTCCTACAGTTCCCAGCCACTGGTATTCAGAAGTCTGCAGCCATAGTGGCCTAGAAAAGCCAGAACAGACCTATCAACTTCTCCAACCTAACCTTGAAAAGAGGCCCACAAGGCAGCACCATGGAGAGCTCCAACAAAGCAACTTGCTCCAACAGTGTCCACTACCCGCTAACTCTTGGGATGTTCGAGACTCCTCCTTTCCTCTGCCCATATGGAGTTGCCCCTTTCAGTGAGAGAGGGGCTGGTGGCCACTCTTCCCACACACTGCTGCTGCTGCCCTCCACAGTGAGACAAAGAGAGATTATGCCCACCTACCTCTGGGTGACTCTGTGTACACTACATACACTGCAGCTGTGGAGAGGGAGGGGGTTGAATTTGCCAGCTGGCAAATGAAGCGAACTATGTGCCTTCCCTACTGATGCTGCTTGCCTGAAAAGGAGACAGTGGCCATTGTGACCTCATGATGATGACACCTGCCTGAGGGAGTGTCATGGCAACCTGTTTCATGTAATATCTTGCCTGATGAAGCATCATGAAGAACTTGAAAGCTTGCCACATTTTTGTGACTTTTTGATTGGTCCCAGGTATTGCCCAACTAGCCAATGGATAACAAACATGGATTCTGCGATGTGTTATGGTGGCTAAGAGACTTATACTGCTAGACTAGAAGGACAAACTTTCTCCATGTTTCAGCCAGTGGTTTGAAGAGCTCACTGCCCGCTTTGCATTTGAATGCATGCCATATAACTATCCATTTCATTTAGAAACCTATTAATGTATATGTTTCAAACAGAGTTAATGGGGTATTTTTAGTTTCAATGTCAGCTGGCAATAGATTGTTTCAATCACTGTTGTTCGTTTGTTTAGTTATTTTCTGTTACAAATGAAAATAAAAAAAACTGAAAGGGAGGAGGTATTGCTCAACTAAGAGTTGCAGTCATTCTTATAACAGGGAACAAGCTAAATTCAAAATTAAGGTGAAATTTAAACATTTAGAACAAAAATCTAAACTAATGGTAAATAAGAGATGAAATACCAAATGTACATTTTGCACACCCAAAAACTAACAGCTGTGAATATTATTAATGTGAAATGCATAAATTATCCAGGATCAGTACAAGCTGATCTGGATCAGTGAGATGATTTCTGTACTGAAAATAAATAGTTTATTTCTTAAAGTGAGTTGCTTCTTGAGCCAAAAGAGGGTTAAGTTTTCATTTGCTGTCTACAGCAAGAATATTGATTTTCAATAAAAACTATTCTATTAAACATCAGATCTGTAAGATACAGAATATTCTGCTTTTGCTCAAATTTAATATATTTTATGAGATATATGGAAGGAAAACTCAGTTTCCTTTTATATGGAAGAAATGATGGATCGCTGTGATAAAATGAATCAGGCAAGGAAAAATGTAGATAAAGGGCCATAGCTCAGTGGTAGAACATTTGCTTTGTATGCAGAAAAACCCAAGTTCCATCCTCAGGTAAGACTTCGAATGTTCCTTGCCTGAAAGTGGGTCTGTATTGTTCTCCTTGCCTTCCCAAGGCTGCAGGTTGCTACCACATAGTTCATCATAGTGTGGCAGAGCCAATCTGACACTCCCCCCATGCTGGCCTTGCCCCATTGCCTCTCCCTCTCAGTAGGCAACAGAGATGTTCAGGACTGGGAAGTCAGGAGAGCACAACATCCCCACACCTGTGTAGCACCATTGGTCACTACTGAATGTCGACAATATTGAGCTAGGTGGACTAATGTCCTAACAGTAGAAGGCAACTTCCTAAGTTCTTATGAAAATTTTGTCATACCCTTTTCTCATGGTTTGATCCTCCAGGCCCCATTGAAATCATTCAGTATCTTCCAACTTTGACTTGGAAGCACTTCAGTAAGGATAGTGATATGTGACATGGCATCAAAACGCAGAAGCCAGCTTTTGAGGTGAGTAAATTTGTTCCCTAAATATCATTTTGTGCCTCATGTTGCTGAATATATTGAAAATGTAAACAGATGTTAGAGAACTCCTCTAGCTTCTTTGGCTTTGGAAAGAGCAAATGGAATCATTTTTATTTTTTTCATGCGGTTCATTTTTTGTTTGTTTTTTGGATGAAGTTAAAGTGAACCAAATTAATTTTGCCACAATGCTTTAGGCTCTCTTATATGATGCCACCAACTGAGAGCCTACTGAAACATTAAGGGTGAAGGTGAAGGATTTTAAAGAACTAGTACGATGGTGGAAAGGAGTTTCCCTTTCAAATGTTCTCTTCTTGGGAGTTGAGTTTTCTAAACTCAGGCCACCCATAAAACAAGCCATATGATTTTGTTATCATTGGAAGCTGACTGTCAGAAGCACAGCTAATATGTTCTGTGGTATCTGGATGCCTCTACATTGCACGATAAGAGTATTATGCAGCAACAAAAAACTTTGACACACTATCCGTAAGAACTAGTTCAGATTTAGGATCCCACAGAACACTCCCTTCCTTACCCACCCTCTGCGGCACTCAGATAAGGGCTACTCAAGGCTTTCAAAATAGGGTTTGAGATTCTGTATAAGCTTAACCTAAACTTCAAAAAATGTGATCCAACAATTGCTAAAAATCCAATTTTTGCTGTAAATCCCATTCTACCACCAAAATCATTGCGATTAAAAATGCTAAAATTGGACTGAATTTCACCACTACCTAAAAATATCAGAGACACGAGTGGCACTGTGGTCTAAACCACTGAGCCTCTTTGGGCTATACTTGCTATTCTGGTATAGAATGTAAGCAGCCCAACTACTTGTGGGACAACTTTCTGACAGCAAATAACACCTGCACTGGCCAGCCTAGGATCAAGGTTTGGGACGTGGGTGGCACTGTGGTCTGAACCACTGAGCCTCTTGGGCTTGCCAGTCAGAAGGTTGGCAGTTCGAATCCCCGTGACGGAGTGAGCTCCCATTGCTCTATCTCAGCTCCTGCCAACCTAGCAGTTGGAAAGCACACCAGTGCAAGTAGATAAATAGGTATCACTGTGGCAGGAAGGTAAATGGCGTTTCTGTGAGCTCTGGCTTCCATCACGGTGTTCCATTGCGCCAGAAGCGGTTTAGCCATGCTGGCCACATGACCCAGAAAGCTGTCTGTGGACAAACGCTAGCTCCCTCGGCCTGAAAGTGAGATGAGCGCCTCAACCCCATTGTCACCTTTGACTGGACTTAACTGTCCAGGGGTTCTTTACCTTTACCTTTACCGGGGGATGATGACTATTAAGTTTCTCCCTTTCCTTCTGTTACATCCCAATAATTTTGGACATAGTTCCCGCTCTGGCAGAAAAACCTTTATCTGGCCTGTCCCACTTCAGAACGGTAGTAATGCATTCTTGAGTGTACCCCAAAGTTCTTCCTTTTAAGTGAATGGGTTCCTTCATTCCTTTGGGGAAAAATAAAACCCTGTAGTTGGGAACAACATTGTGGCAGATGAAGTCCAATCTTGTCCTCTGCTCCTAACTCTGGGTGGGACAGTCTTTGCTTGTAGAGGAGGAGTTGCACCCATACAACATCCTTGCGGTTCACAAATCCTCTTTCTACACACATTACTGCCACCACAATAAACCTTTGCCTTATACAGTTGTACCTCGGGTTAAGAACTTAATTCGTTCTGGAGGTCCATTCTTAACCTGAAACTGTTCTTAACCTGAGGTACCACTTTAGCTAATGGGGCTTCCCGCTGCTGTTACGCTGCCGCCACACAATTTCTATTCTCATCCTGAAGCAAAGTTCTTAACCCAAGGTACTGTTTCTGGGTTAGAGGAGTCTGTAACCTGAGGCGTCTGTAACCCGAGGTACCACTGTAATTTAAGAATAATCCAAGAGTCTTCTTTTTCACTAAACATTGGAAAGGAGGAGACATTGAGGTGACATGATAGCTACAGTATCTTCAAATATCTAAAGGGCTGTCACATGGAATGTTTTCTGCTGCTCTGGAGGGTAGGACCTGTACCAATGAATTCAAGTCACAAGAAAGGAGATTCCAACTAAACATCAGGAAGAAGCTTCTGACAGTAAGAGCTGTTAGAATGGACTCTCTTGGGAGGTTATGGACTCTCCTTCAAATGGTTGGATGGCCATCTGCCATGGATGCTTTAGCTGATATTCCTGCATTGCAGGGAGTTGAGCTAGATGACCCTCATGGTCCCTTCCAACTCTACAGGTTCTATAATTCTGTTATTGGGGGAGCCAGTTGGCTGAGTGTACACCTGTCAGTTGGGGTCTTGACACTGGTGTTGCTGCCGCTTTCCCAAATGGGGATACAGCAGGGTGGCAGCGAGGGTGGGGCTGTGCAGACACACCAAGGGAGCTAATCCTTACCATCACCCTGCCGCTTCCAGGTAAGCTGCTGCAACACTTTTACTTAAGCAGACATCAGTAGTGGATCACGTGATGGGGTGGAGCCACAGAGCCATCCCATCGCATGAGCCACTACTGATGCCTGTGTCATGAATTAGCAACTGTTGCTCATATCTTGGGGGGAGGGATTTTATCCACGTGTCTTCCCTTGTTCTGGAAATGTGTGTAAAGAAGCAGCAGGGAAATAACTGCAGAATAGCTTTTTTCTCCCGCACATAAGTGAACTTGGACATAAGAATGAGATGTCTCTAGTAAAGTCTGGGAAGATTCTTCGCCATCCGTGATTAATCTATCCTACACCAGTCTGCATGATGACCCCTTTTAGATGTTCCCATTGGCCGATTCCCAGAGTTCCAGACATGCCACAAAGTTTTGGCTGGCCAGGAGATTCCAAGCATCGCCAGACTTCTTGATTTTAGCTACGTTCAAGATGAAAGTTGGATTTCCCCTCTCCCCTTTAAAAGTTGGTGGCATAACCCAATGAATATATTGCATTTTCAGCTGCATGTTTTGAAAACTAAAAGGACAAGAAAACAGTGTGGGAAAAATCAGGCTACAGGACGACAAGAGGGGAGAAAAACAAACACCCTCTATAGTTCCCATAGCTCAACAGAGCATGTTGTTAGGGTAACTCATAGGCCAGTGCCTCTGAGGGATCCAATCACTGTTTGGCAGAATTAGATTCTGATTCATGCTTTCTTAACTCATACACGTGCCAACGAGGGATGAGAACATTCCATGGGAACTTTATGACCAGTCTCCTCCTTATCAGCTTTGAACCAGCTGCCAGACTTGAAGGTTGTTCGATAGATAATTGAATTCTCCACATCACACATTAATTTCTAGATCCTGTCTTATCCATCCATGGGCTAAGATTCAAGGCCCAATGCAGAGTAGCATTTTCCTATCCACACCCACCCTTCCTGTCTCTGAACTTCCTTCCTTAAGATTTACCCAGAGATCATTGTGCTAAGTGAATTCCCTGTCCTCAGCTTGTAAACCTCATGCCCTTGGAACTTGTTCACAAGCTTTGCTCTGACACTAGGGATTTTTTAAATCAATGCTTCCCTACAAGCAAGGTCTGCAACAAAAAGTTGTGTTGTATTCCCAGTCTCTCTTACAGGAGTGCTCTCTATAGGAGAGTTATAGTCCTACTCAGGTAGCCTCAGGAGGAAGGAAGGGGGAAAGGCTATCGTCAACAACGCATCACCAGGTGATTGACAGGAGGGTTGTCCCATTCACCTGTCAAAGGTGGCCCATGGAGGTGGGAGGAGATGGCAACCACGCAGGATCAAACTCCTTGCCCATCAGATAATGGGTTGGGAGTCCAGTTCTGCTGTTGGCAGAACAGCCGTGTCCTGCTGTTGGCAGAATCAGTCGTGTCCTTACCAAGCCTCATACCTGATCCCATATAAGACATGCAAGGTGGGTGCAGCCCCAGATTACACATCTTTGTAAAATACTCTCCCCTAATATATTTTGCATGCTATTTTCATAAACATATGCATAATATTTAGTATGTATTTTTTCACTAATATTGGGATTTTTTATGCATACTATACCCCAGTGTAGGTAGAACTCATCTTACACACATAAAGCTACAATCACATAAGCGAATAAGTGTAACATGCAAGTTATTTTTATGTGTTTACTTTTACATAGTACTTGGTATTATTATCTTTAGAGAGGAGCAAAAATCCGTGGAAATCCACCCATGTGCTTCCACTAGAAGGGGTTGTGGATTAGGCTGAAAATGTGTTAGTGCTGAAGCTGCCTTTTACTGAGTCATCATTGCTTACCCAGTCCATCAGTGGTTCTTCAAGGTCACAAACATGAGATCTTCTGCAGTTCATTGAAATTCTTGTAACTGGACATGCTAAGGATAGAACCTGAAACCTTATTCATACAAAGGCCCATATGAACTTATCCAGATCATATGATCATCATCTGAGGCCCTTCATCGTGTGCCTCCTCCACTTAAAAAAAAAAAAAAGGATACTTTTAAAAAAGGAGGAGAAGGGGAGATGATGTGGAATGCTCTGTAAATACAGTGATCCATCCAGTCCTACATGCTTCTCCAAGAGAATCAGATGTCTCAGAAGATAGGCAGATAGAGGATGCTTCATTCCCACACGGATCAAAGCTCATACCCGCTTTGCCACACTAGTTATACCAAGGTCGGAAGCCACACAGAACATAGGCACCATTTTTCATAGCAAGTTATTTGTGTGATATGGCTTCCACCTGTTCATGGTGAGTTTTAACCACACCAAAGAAACTCCCTGAAAAAGTGGAATGGTTATTTGTGGCCACACTCTGGGTTGTATTCATAGAATCATAGCACCAGTCTTTACTCAGAGAAGACCCACTTAAATTAAAGCCAATATCTCTTGAGTTAGTTGAATACAGCCCCATGTGCCTGGAACAGCCACCAACTCTACCTGATGAAAAAGCCACAGACCTTTCTGTCTGATGGACCCTTGGTGACTGCCATTCTTGTTTTCACTTGATGTCTCTTAAAAAGTAGAGACATCACCTTGCCAACAAAGGTCCGTATAGTAAAAGCTATGGTTTTCCCAGTAGTGATGTATGGAAGTGAAAGCTGGACCATAAAGAAGGCTGATCGCCGAAGAATTGATGCTTTTGAATTATGGTGCTGGAGGAGACTCTTGAGAGTCCCATGGACTGCAAGAAGATCAAACCTATCCATTCTTAAGGAAATCAGCCCTGAGTGATCACTGGAAGGACAGATCCTGAAGCTGAGGCTCCAGTACTTTGGCCACTTCATGAGAAGAGAAGACTCCCTGGAAAAGACCCTGATGTTGGGAAAGATGGAGGGCACAAGGAGAAGGGGACGACAGAGGGTGAGATGGTTGGATAGTGTTCGCGAAGCTACCAGCATGAGTTTGACCAAACTGCGGGAGGCAGTGAAGACAGAAGGGTCTGGCGTGCTCTGGTCCATGGGGTCATGAAGAGTCGGACATGACTAAACGACTAAACAACAACACTTCATATAAAACTTCATGTACACTGCTTGGAAGTGCCAGTCACTGCAGAATGCATTGTACAGTCACTGTGCAGGGGATTTTAGGAGAGCAGCAATGCACAAGAAGACCTTGCTATGTGCACATTGATCTAAGCTAGAATCCTAATGCCTATGCATAAGCCTGGTAGATATTGCCTGCTAATCAGTCTACGGGGTATAATATTTCTATTTGTAGTTGGTCAAAACGACTGTGCTGCAGTTTGAGACTGAAAATGCCAGGTATTTCACTCTTAATACAGCTACTGGCTTGTGCCAACTCTCTTTTCATATGCCAACTCTCTTTTCAAATACTGACAAAGGAAGGTTATGTCTAAGTATGCAAATCCTCCTAAATGTACAATGGGAAACAGCAAACCGATACAAATAACTTGCAGTCTACGGAGCTGACCTGATGATATGATGTCAATCCAGCAGATCAGCGGTGGAAATGGAAATTGACTAGTTTTCCAGACATTCCATTACTGTCCATTCCTTATAAAGCCAGCAAGAACGCGGGTGGTGCTGTGGTCTAAACCCCAGAGCCTAGGGCTTGACAATCAGAAGGTTAGCGGTTTGAATCCTCATGACGGGGTGAGCTCCCGTTGCTCAGTCCCTGCTCCTGCCAACCTAGCAGTTTGAAAGCACATCAAAGTGCAAGTAAATAAATAGGTACCGCTCCGGCGGGAAGGTAAACGGCATTTCTGTGTGCTGCTCTGGTTCGCCAGAAGTGGCTTAGTCATGCTGGCCACATGACCCGGAAGCTGTCTGTGGACAAATGCCGGCTCCCTCGGCCTACAGACCGAGATGAGCGCGCAACCCCAGAATCATCTGCGACTAGACCTAACGGTCAGGGGTACCTTTACCTTTCACCTTATAAAGCCACAGTACTGTTCTGTAGGGCTCTCATGCTAATAGTCTCTATAATGTCTGTTATAACTAAACCTCTGGAACATCAGAAGCCTTTGATACGAAAGACATGCTAACATATCTCCCTTGATTTCCTTATTGTTTTCAGTACTGTGTGTTCTAAGAACTGGAGAGGATTTGAGTTTATTTAACTTCTACAAATAGATTATCCTGAGATATTTATTTAAACCTTTGGGGTTTAAAATCAGCCATGTCCACCGCAATTTGGGCAATGTTGACTGTTGGCAACTCCCTATGGTTCTTTACTCCAAATCTCCATTAGGCCGCAGAGGCACAAATCAAGTAATTTAATGGAACTTGCAGTTCTTGACTAAACTTTTTTGAGAAGTCTTTGCTTAAAACGTGTCTTGCATTGTGAATTTAGGAAATGGAAAAGCTCCCTAAATGTAATCACAGCTAGAGTAGCCTTCTTCAAGCCCAGTTGTTCTTGGACTCCAGCTCCCATCAGCCCCAACCATCATGGCCAGTGGTTAGCAATGACAGGAGTTGCAGTGCAAAACCATCTGGAGGGCACCAGATTGGGAGAAATTGAGCAAAGCTGTTGGTTAGTTTGGAAGGAAACATAGATTTAATTCATCATTGAATCTGTGCAGATTAGTTTATCTCACCTCCATGCAAGATTTCTGTGTGGCTAAAATGTAGTTCTGAGCTCCTGAAAAGTAATGTGACACTTAATTGAACATAACCCTGGTTAAAACAACACTGTTTGGTTTCAATTGTTTTAAAACTATATTCTGGAGACAATGGACATTGTGAGGTTTTGGCAGTATCACTGAGTGGCTTGATATCTCTCCTAGCAGTCTATGGACCCAAGCAGGTAAGTAAGGAGACTGGAGGAGACTCTTGAGAGTCCCGTGGACTGCAAGAAGATCAAACCTATCCATTCTGAAGGAAATCAGCCCTGAGTGATCACTGGAGGGACAGATCGTGAAGCTGAGGCTCCAATACTTTGGCTACCTCATGAGAAGAGAAGACTTCCTGGAAAAGACCCTGATGTTGGGAAAGATGGAGGGCACAAGAAGAAGGGGACGACAGAGGATGAGATGGTTGGATAGTGTTCTTGAGGCTACCAGCAGGAGTTTGACCAAACTGCGGGAGGCAGTGGAAGACAGGAGTGCCTGGCGTGCTCTGGTCCATGGGGTCACGAAGAGTCAGACACGACTAAACGACTAAACAACAACAACAACAACAACGGGTCAGTAAAGGAATGACAACACAGTATTGCAGAAAAAGGGCTAGGATTGGTAATAGGTTGGCAATTGGTTATAGGTTGGCAATAGGTTCAGGACAAATCAGGGCGGGGTTCACGCAATGTATAATTACATTATGCGTTTTCTCCCAAATGAAATTGTGATGAACAGTGGCGTAGATGGCCTTATTTTTATTCAATTGTACTGCCCTTTTAATCTCACGTTTCTTCTGCCACGGAACTCAAGATGCCATACATGTGATTCCCCATTGGTCACTCATCTAGGCACTGACCAGACCCAGACCAGCGTCAGCAGGCATGGTGGCCTTCTAACCAGAGAAATTCATGGATGAGAAAAGGTCTGTCAATGGCTATCAGCAGAGCCAGCCCAATATATTTTGACCCCTGAGGCAAACCGCAAAATGGTGTCTCCCCCCCCACCAGGGAAGAAGGTGTGAGTGAAGATCTACATTGAGAATGGGGGTAGGGAATCTACATCGGGATCTGCTGCTCCTATGGATCCTGCCTCCTGAGGTGGTCACTTCAACTGGCCTCATGGGTGGACCACCTCTGGCTATCAGGGATGCCTGTCTATTTGTGGTCTTAGTCACTTTACACCAGAATTTATCAGCAAATTGGATTCTTTTCAGTGTAAGTATGGATCAAGATAAAGGTTTTTATCTCCTACTGCAGATGTTACATTTGCATAGTAAGCTTTGTACAATGATATTATCACCAATTAATTCTCTGTTCTTATCTTGGAGCTTTGCCTATAAATGGCACAGTCGTACTGGGCCTCTTACATTTCAGATAGATCATTAGGCCCTACTATTTCCAATCCCCACTCCAGACCTTTGACATGTATGTTGTTGTTTAGTCGTTTAGTCGTGTCCGACTCTTTGTGACCCCATGGACCAGAGCAGGCCAGGCACTCCTGTCTTCCACTGCCTCCTGCAGTTTGGTCAAACTCATGCTGGTAGCTTCGAGAACACTGTCCAGCCATCTCATCCTCTGTCGTCCCCTTCTCCTTGTGCCCTCAATCCTTCCCAACATCGTGGTCTTTTCCAGTGAGTCTTCTCTTCTCATGAGGTGGCCAAAGTATTGGAGCCCTAGCTTCAGGATCTGTCCTTCCAGTGATCACTCAGGGCTGATTTCCTTAAGAATGGATAGGTTTGATCTTCTTGCAGTCCATGGGACTCTCAAGAGTCTCCTCCAGCACCATAATTCAAAAGCATTAATTCTTCGGCGATCAGCCTTCTTTATGGTCCGGCTCTCGCTTCCATACATCACTACTGGGAAAACCATAGCTTTACCTGCCAATTGAGGATTATGCATCTGATGAAGTGGGTTTCAGTCTATGAAAGTTACATCACAAAAAAGTTATTAGTCATTAGGAAGTCAAAGATTCTTTGACTTCTATTTTTGCAGCAGACTTAATGCAGTTACCTTTCTGGGATGTGTCAGGTGCTTTGAGCACTTTAGAAGAGAGTTAAAATTTAAGCACAGGACGCTGGGAAAGTGATTCGAAAGAGCTAATTGGAGAGAAGGGGATTTCCAAAGATGACGACACTTCTGGAAAAAACTGTTCAGGACCAGCTTAAACAAATATGGCATCAAGCCTTGTTGATGGGAGCCAAGGAACACAGGGCCATTTCTGTGCTGTCAAATGTCATGACACAAAGATTCATGAGAAAATGCCTTCTAGCTCCCGGGAAATCTCCCTGTCAGAGCACACCCTCCTAGTTCGACACATCTGCTATACTTCGTGCAGGAATTCATCGGGCACAAAACATAGATGGATTTCTTGGGAATGAGCAAGAGACTTCATATAAATGCTTTTTGTTGGGGGGGGGCGAAGGAAGCAAGAAGAACCATACATGTAATTATTTTTATTTTTGCATATTTCTGAAGCATTCTAAAGAGGGTGATAGATAAACCATGCATCATATCACATCCTCCTCAAAATGACTGAGACATGTGGATGAAGAGAATCTATTAGACTAGAGAGATGTGCTTTGTACAGGGGAAGGTTTGGCATTAGTTTAGCAGAAAACCAACATTTGTCAAGGACCCCTATGGTGGAAGAAGGTAGCAGAGCTTTCATTTTATGCAGTAGGCTGAAACGAGTCCTCGCCTTTCTAAAAGCCCATCCCTAGGGGTCGAATTACTGTAATATCAAATAATGTTTGCAGACATTTCAAGTGGTGCTGGCAGAGATAGGAATCAATTACAGAATGTTGAATTTTAATGTTGTTGATATGAGTTCGTCTTAATGGGTGCGGGAGGGATATCTCACACAAGACCAGGAAACAGAAGGGGCAGACTGAGCAATGCTCTAAAACTGTGAAGACAGGGGCTACACAACCAGATGGGAGGTGTCTCAAGAAGTCCAGGAGGAAAATGGGGTTACACCTCCACTCAAGACAGGAGGGGGAGAAGTGCTGTTAGTGGGGAAGAGTGCCAAGAGGTAAGGAAGGCTGACTTTCATATACTGATTCAATTTAACCGGCCAGTTTTCTGACTGTGGGCTTCCAGTGAACTTATGATTCAGCAACACATGCATATTTAGTCTGCGGGACACTGCCACAAATTATTAATGTGGCAAACAGTTTAAACATCTCTATCCAAAAGACGGTCAGATTTCTAGTTGGAGCTTAAGATTGTTTGGCACTGAATGTGTAATTCTGCGACAGCTCAAAGCATGTTCACTGCTAACGCAGCTCAGATATATCCGCGGACAGATTTTGGCCTTTTGATCTGTGGAGTAAAAATGGTTTTAAGGTCTGCAGGAGTAAATAGTAGACGCTAATATGGTGTTCATCCCAGATCTGTCATTGGAAAGGCTCCATCTTCTCACAATCTCAGAGTGCAAACATCTCTGTATATTTGATATCCTTGACATTAAAAGAGTGATCTGGTTTGTTTAATGGCTCCGAAAGCATCCCTGAGTCACTGAAGCTAATAGCCCCCATTTGAATTTGTAGTGCCTGCTCTGAGCAGCACCAAGTGAAAAGTTCCAGATCCAGCGATTTGAAAAACTCCTGGCACCGATGTTTAGATCTTGACCCCCTGACTATATTTTGGTTCATAGTTAGCAGCTAGGTTACCAAAGAGGATGGCAATGTTTAGGCATCTCTGCAGCTTCATTCTTCATTCAGGGTCTCCTTTGACAAGATACTCCAACAGGCCTGATGTTTCTCCAAACTGCATTCCAGGGCTGAAGAACTATATAGAGGGAGAGCTTTGGCTTAAATGCTCTCTCTGGAGTAGCTTCTGGCAGGAGAGGTCGGTGAGAAGGGCTGTCACCAGGTACCTAACCTCCAATTAATGCAAGTTTTACCCCTTACTGGGAGGTAGGGGACGAGGCGACAGGCAGCTTAGTGCTGTATGGATGCTTGGGCAGGAGTGCCAGAGTGACCCCATCAATGCCCCCAACAAGTGGGATGTAATCCATTGGAGCAGTCAAATACAACATTCCTTGTTTCCCTAGAGTGGGCATAGGCAGGAGGATGTTAATCCAGTCAGTATGACTTCCTGTTCCACTGGTCTGGAGCGTCCTCCCCCTGCATGTGACCAGGGAGATGGGCGTGACCCTGGCTGATGCCATAAAAGAGCCGAGTCACGCAGCAATCTTCTCTCTTGATGCCATGCTGCTCTCCTGCTGCCATTTTGTTCTCTTGATGCTGTTCTCTTAACGTATTTTGCTCTCTGCTTGCTCTCAGCCAGCAGCACATGGGCTCAATCCCCATGAGGGATTAACTCACCCTATGTTCTGTAACTACTAGCTAAAGCCTGCCTTCAGGGATCATACCGTGAACTGAATGTGAGTAAACTTCTTGTTACTTTTAAGGAAAGACTCTTGCGTCTTTATTCTTTTAAGAAGGATAAAAGGGGACACCAGGAATAATCCATTCTGGTCAAGCCAGACTGGATTGCTTAACTAAAGAGATTCAAATGAGTCTGCAAACTAGCTTCCTGCTGAATTGAGGGGAATCTGTTCTGCTACGTGACCCAGTAGCATGAAGGAAGGAAGGATAATATTTAATTAATATATCCTCTCCTACTATCCTTAACATTCCCACACAATAAAGTGCCAACTTCCTCATTGCCTTGTCCCATCCCTTCTCCTTCCCTGTAAGTGGCCATGACTTTGCTGTCTGGAAGCCAGGTACCCACCGCTGCCTCTACTCACTGACTGCTCCGGGCTTCTAGAAAGGATAACCTGCTGTGTTTGGTTTGAGCTTTAAGGGAGTCTGAAACTCTGCCTGGTTCGCATGGAACATAATCCAAGCTGTACCTGAAGAGTTCCATCCAGCTCACCGACTTGGAAGGCAGAGATGGGTGCTTTATCAGGGTAGGTTGCAAAATGTTCTTCCTCAGATTGTAGCTAAGGCGCTGAGCCTCAAATTTTGGGGAAACGTGTAAACGTTTTGGGCATGACCCACTCCAATTGTGGACTCTGTTCCTGAACACAGAGGGTTCCCATGGGCCCTGTTAGCACCCTGTTTCTCCTCCCCCCCCCCCACATAGGACAACAATTAAATCATTCTTTATGATTTCGTCAAGAAAACATAGAATGGGGAATTGCTGAGCCCCGTCTGAACCCCTTACGTTCAGGGGCTGTGTCTGTGGCTTGAGTTGCTGATGTCCATTGATCTTAGCAATTTGACTCTTACATTTTTTTTGCCTTAAAATTCTTTGGTAATCATTAATAAATATCCATGATAGTTTAAAAGCAACATTTTAGCCAATATGTTTTATGGCTGAGAAGGGATTTGAACCCAAGTCTCTCAGGCCCTAGCTTAGTCCAACACTACACTACAGTGGCTTTCATTTACATAGGTTTAGATAAGATCTGCATGTCACCTCTGCCCTGCAAAGGAGATCTACAGGTGAGTCACATTTTGGATATGGAATCAAAGGCATAAATCAGTGTTTCAAACCAAAGGAAATTAGAATGTGCATCTGGGTGTTGATGTTGTCCATCTGCATTGCATTGCTTTCAGCTGAATGCACATTTAACACACAGCCCCATCCATATTCTGATGCAGCTAGTCTTACAGAAACAGCTTTATAAAGTGTAGCTCGAGTGGATTCAGAGCAATCGTCTATTATATACAGCATCTCGTGTGCTATTAGATAACAGAAGCATCTGGGAAAGATGATATGTTTTATTGTTGCATAAGAGATATCACCATTGATATACACTTGAGATTGTGAGAAATGGGTGTGTTCTTTTGGAATATGCCTGCTGGAGAGTCTAACTGCTTTCCAGTGCAAGTGCCAAAGAATCGGAGCCAAAATCACAGCCATTAAATATTGAAGTCATTGTAGCCATCCAAGAAAAAGGGTCACAAATTCTCTATTGTTCTGTCTGACTTTATAGAAAGAAACTTGGGAATGTCAAACACTGATTACAATTCAAAGAAGAAAAAAAACAATAATAAAAATGATGCCAAATAACACTGTTTTAAAGTTCAGCTTAGTGCTCTTAAATTACAAAGCAGAACTCTTTCTTCTAATGTTTGGCATGCCCACATTCTAATTTTGACTTCTTCTGAGAGGTGGCGATAGCATCTGATGAGTCACCATTGAAATGTGTGAGACCAAATGTTTTCCCCCCCATATAGCTGAAGCAATCAGCACTCTTGGTTTGTTGTGCATGGCTTGCTTTCGTTGGGCAATAGTGGCATGGTGTTCCACTTCCTGAACCATGTGATCGGGGCATTCTATTGGGGAACTTGGACTGAACTCTACATTCCCTCTCAGACCCAGGCACCTAACTCTCCTACTCCCGACATGAACTTCATTTCATTCACTTTTGGCCATTGGCCCCACCCCTGAGCCTAGAATTCAGCATTTTAAAAATCTGATCTAATACAATGTGTGCTGGGCTGGAGTCTGCACTGTAAGAAATGATAGGCACGGGCACCATTGGTGACAGATGCCCATTGGGAGGAAAATAGAAATACAGGAAGTGGTTTTACATCGCGCCAGACTATGTGTTCATCTTTCAGGGACCGTGCTGAGGAGGGCTGCACTGAGGAGGAACGGTGGGAGCCTCCCCCTCCCCCTGCTCCAGATCCTGAATCTTCCCAGGAGCAGGAGGACAGTATAGATTTGGAACAGTGGTTTGCAGAGGGGCATAGTTCAGAAGGCAGAAGCTGGGAAATACTGGATGGGAGACAGCTAGGAGAAGAAACACTGGAAGAGAGAGGGTTAACAGATTCACAGTCTCTGGACAGCATTCACTCCCCCCTTCTCCAAAGTCATGGAGAGCTCAGAAAGCACAGAGGGTACAAGCTCAGATTACAAAACATAGAAGTGGCGTAGATTAATAGGGACAGCAGGGGGTAGATTCCTTAATTGGGAGCACTGCCATTCCTAGTTGTGTTCTTTGTTCTCTCTGTGATTATTAAAGTATAAATGGCAGTTAATAATTTGTTTCTGAAGCTAATTTAGATTACATTTATACAATGGAAAGACAATTCTTCCATGGAGGTCTATAGAAAGCCATTGCCGTGTCTGGCCACAGAGACTGAGTCACACAAACCTTTATTGCACATGCAATCCAAGAAAAATTGTCCCAGAGAAAGGAGTTTGGTTGATTGCCTTGTGTCCCTTAAGACAATTCTGCTTGTACCCACCAGCTTACTAAAATTAAAATGCACCCCCAACGCAAGTATCTTGGGATGTGTTGTTTTGTGTGGTTGATTGTTATATCCTGTTAGAAATCCTTAAACCCCAACCAAAGAGCAGGTCTCAGAGTTCTGATGGGGGAAGAATATAAGAATGCTCAACTGGTTCCTGTTTGGAGGAAGGATGTGCCTTCAGTAATAGAGATGAATATGTGAACAGTCTAAATAAGGGATCCAAACTCTCTTAGGAAAGGGGGGCGGGAATCTTGTTTTTATTTCTGGAAAGGAAAGAGATACATTTCACAAAAAGCCTGTTTTCTTTTTGTAAGTCAGCTTCCCTTTAGCTCTCACATCTGGAAAGCATGAAAGGAGGAGGACAGCCTTCTGCCAGGCCTAGAAGTGTAGAGGTGTTTGGAAAACTTCAACCATCCCAAAATGCTTAAATCAGCCAAAGCGAAAGGCAGAACCTGGAATCTAGTCATTCTTGCTGCGGTGTGTGTATGTGTTGCTACAGCTTCCTTTGGAAAGTTAAAATAAAAGATCAGCTCCCCCACAGGACTTTTTTTTTTGAGCACATCATCAAGGAAGCGATGATTTTGGCACACAGCAGTTGCTGCCTCTCCTCTCCAGACATCAAATAGCCCCACCACATTGCGCTGGGTGAAGAAACAGGAAGGAGCAAGAACACACAGCTTGCGCTCCTTGTCTCCAATGAGTCAGGAGAGCCGCCTCTGCTGAGGATGGAAATCCTCCACTTTTCCTGTGGTGCAGGAAATACCTGTAAACATCTCGGGGTATATTCAGCTCCAACAGACAGTAAACAAGACTATGTCATCCACTCCCATCTACCAGAGCCTTGTAAGGCGAAAGCAACAAGGCGACCTTGAATTCAACCTGAAGGAAAATAACAGTGAAGGAACTGACTCATATGTATCCCCCCCAAAAAAATCCAAGTAGGGTCAGTCAGGAAGAAGGAAGGAAGGAAGGACACCTTGAGCCTACACAAGTCAAGAACATGTTAGAACCAGGAACCAAATTGATTCAGTGGGCCACCCAGCTCAATATCCTGTTAATAACAGTAGCCAGTCCAGGATGCTTCCAAGGAAATGTGTAAGAAAATAGTGCAGATACGAAAGAAGCTGTGCATATTGCTTCCAGCTTTTGAAGGTCAGAGAGCAAGGGGTGTCCTGTTTATAAAGTTTCTCAGGATGTCCAGCTTGGTCCTGAATGGGTTGACTGAGAGCTGATGCCTATGCACCTATGACAGTTGAAACATGAGGTGGCAAAGAGAGGAGGATGGAAAGTATACTGTGAATTTATGAGACCATTCTCATAACAGGAACTCTGGAAGCTTCCTCCTACTGAGTCCGACTGTTGGACTGAACCTGAGGCCTTCTGCATGCAAAGTACATGCTCTACCACTGAACTATGACCAGCAGCTCCTTATGAGGTGGGCTTATGCCTTCCCACAGTGCTTTGCAAATGTTCATGCATGGGACCAGAATGCTGCAGACAGGGTGGGAGACAGCCATTCACCCAGCAGAGCTAATGGCTAATGTAGCGTAGAAGCCTAGTACGAACGGAGGACCTAAAATTGTGAAATACAAATTCATTTAACAGTCGAGAGAACATTGCCCACAGAAAGTGTGGCAATAAAAATGTACACTGTAGAATTTTATGACCTCATAAAACTACAGATTGAATATGATTCTTAGATCATAACATTCAACCATTGTCTAGAATTCTGTTGTCTTTTCAGAGTATAGACTGGCACGGAACAAAGCAAACTAAAATCTAACTGGGGGGCATTTCACGAACAGGAAGGAAATGTGCAAGTGAGCTAATATTGAGCAGTGCAAAATTACTTTTTTTCCCTTTTAAAAACATGATTTTTAATTAGAGTATCATAGAAAAGATGGAAGGCAAAATGGCCGCACACACTACGTGTTGACAATTTCCCCAGCCATTCAAAACATCCTCATGTGTATCAAGTGTATGATAAACTACTGGGGACTCAAAGTGTGGAAGAACATGTACAAGGACCTAGGTTTCTTGTAGAATCAAGGTGGTGGCTGGAGCTCTTCTGATTTCCTTTATACTCTGTTTCTCATTCTCGTGAATGGACATTAATGAATATTTCCATCATTTAAAACAAATAGCACCTGATAGAATTGGGTGTGATTGTGAAGATGACCTGTTTCTGAAAACCAGCACCTCTTCTCGTACATGAATAGCGTGTAGAACCGTTGCAGATTATAAAGAATGCTTTTGGCTGTGGCAGCATGCTGGATATCTGAGAAGATTCAGAAGCACACCTTGGTGGATGCCCCAAATTCTGGAGTAAATACATGGAAGCACTCCTTTTCCAAGTTCATCTGAGCACCCACAGAGACAGTAAAGTCCATGCAACAGGCATATGGTGAGTGGAGAGCCGATCATTGTAGGAGGAGGACCACCTGCCTTCCAGAGGCAGCAGGAGAAGAAGAATCTCTTGCTGCTTTGTCAATTTAAGATGACTGGTGTTCTACTTCGGTTTTATATTAAGAAGCAGTGTCTGTTCTTATTGGAAACCTGAGAACACGGATGGCGGTATCCCACTACACATTGCAATCTCTTCTCCCCGATAATTCAATTTGAATCTCTATCCATTTCACTGCCTTATAACATTGTCAAGCTGCTCTTACTGCTAAAACATTTCTTTCTGTTCAGCTGAAATCTACCCTCCTATAACTTCAGCTAATTAGATCTACTCTGGCAGCAGAGAACATGTATTGACCCTGTTCTATGTGACAACACTTCAGGTCTTTGGAAAGTGGCATCATTCCCACCTACCTCCCAGTTTTATCCAAGCTAAATGTTCCTGGTCCCTGCCATTTTTCCTTATAGAATTTGTTTTCTATTGTCCTGACCATCTTCATCCATCTCCTTAGAACCCAGTCTAATTTGCCGATAATATATCAATCCATCTAGCACTGCAGATGAAGTCTGAGTAGTGTAGAAGAAAGCAATATCTATCTATCTATCATCTATCTATCATCTATCTATCTATCATCTATCATCTATCTATCTATCTATCTATCTATCTATCTATCTATCTATATCTATCTATCTATCATCTATCTTTCTCTCTCTATCTATCTCTATCTCTATCTCTATCTCTATCTCTATCTCTATCTCTATCTCTATCATCTCTATCTCTATCTCTATCTCTATCATCTCTATCTCTATCTCTATCATCTCTATCTCTATCTCTATCTCTATCATCTATCTATCTATCATCTATCTATCTCTGGCAGCACACAATTTCCGTTCTCATCCTGGGGCAAAGTTCTCAACTCAAGGTAACTCTTCCAGGTTAGCAGAAGAGTTTGTAACCTGAAGCCTTTGTAACCTGAGACATTTGTAATTCGAGGTACCTCTCTCTCTCTCTCTCTCTCTCTCTCTCTCTGTGTGTGTGTGTGTATTTCTTGTGACCTGGAACCTGTGGTTCTGTTAATGAAACCTAAAACCACATTAGCCTTTTTCACAGCTGCATCACACTGCTGACTCATGTCACTGCTGACTCATGTCCAGTTTGCAGTTGTCCTGGATACAGGAAAAGCAAAAGCCAAGATTTTACATTGACTTCTATAATAAAATCAACTAAAAATCCTATATTATTATTAAAGACGTTTGCACGTAAACACGTTTCTCAGGTCAGATTTATAAAACCACCTATATGTGAACTTTGCCTACTCTCCAATACTTTAAAGCTAAAATCCAAGACACCATCTTCCCATTTTCTTAATCACAAAAGCATGGCAGCCATTTTGGTTGCCGTGATCTCACACATTTTTGCACTGTGGTACCCCCCTAAAAAAACAAAAACAAAAAAACTTTTCCAGGCCCATTATCCCAAAACACACATTTTAGGGCACCAAGCAAAATCACAGCCCTGAAATAATCACTCTCTTTTTTGGGTGGGGGCGGGCATCACACTGAGAAATCATGTGATATCATGGCAACCAAATGGCTGTTCTCTCGTGGTAAAAAATGGGGTGTCCTGGTTTTCCTGGGACACTTATAGGGTGTGAGCTTGATCTTGTGACAAGAATTGACATATAAAATGGAAGAATGGTATAAAAGAGGTGTGGGATATAGCTATTAATGATAAATAAACAACTGCTATTAAGGTAAGATGGGGAATATGCAGGAGAAATGATTCTGAGGTGATACCAAAGGTCTTTGTAGAATTTCTACTGTTAAAATGGAAAGGGGTCAAACCATTGCAAGAGGTGTTGAGATTTTGGGAGGTTGGATAGTTACAATGAAATGGTCTCAGGGGTGGGGTGCACATTTTTATTTATTTATTATTATTTTGTTAAAATAATAATAATAATAATAATAATAATAATAATAAATCTTGTGAAGGGGGGGGAAGAATTGACATAGTTGCATTGTTGTCGTCATCAGTATTTTGATTATTTACCTGGCCTTCAGCATACAGACAACCAGGCAGAGGGCCTTCTCAGTAGTGGCCCGCCTCCTGTGGAACACCCTCCCATCAGATATCAAGGAAATAAACAACAATCTGACTTTTAGAAGACATCTGAAGGAAGCCCTGTTTAAGGAAATTTTTAATGTTTGATGTTTTATCGTCTTTTTAATATTCTGTTGGGTTGGGAGCCAGCCAGTGTGTGTGTGTGTGTGTGTGTGTGTGTGTGTGTGTATCTGTATCTATATCTATATCTATATCTATATCTATATCTATATCTATATCTATATCTATATCATCTATATCTATATCTATATCTATATCTCTATATAAGTAGATAGATAGATGATAGATAGGTCCCTGGGTTGGTCACAGCAATTAAAAAATACAATATTAAAACAGTTTAAAACTAGTACAGTCAAGAGAATAGAATGGGCCCTAAAAATATCTCTCTTGGGTGTCAGAGGCCAGGGCTGCCACCCCTTGAACTTCTGAGGGCAGTGGAACTACCAAGATGGTACCATTTACCACCAGAGAGGAGCTACAGGGAAAAGGCTCACTTTCAGATGTTTCAGGCCTAAGTCATACTGGGCTTTAAATATGAAGATGGCTTGCCATTCTTTAGGAGATGGGAAACAAGATGTATTCAACCCTTTCACAAAAGAAGTGTTGGATCCCACCACAGTGTGACCAGGAAAAGGAAAAAGAATCCAACAGGAGTCACAGATCTGCTGATCTAGTGAAAAAAGGAGGCTTCAGATCTCTTGTCAGCTGACCCAAGGGAGGGATATAAAGGAGTGCAAACCAAGAGAAGCATCTTTAAATGAGGGTGCAGAGGGAAGAAGTTGGGTATGCTGACCTAGGATTTGGCTTCTGATCTGAAGCATTTCTAAAAAACATAAGTGGTTTAATAAAAACACCCTGTAACCACAGAGTCAGGAAGAAGCTCCTTTGAGAGCTCTTTGGTGCTTTCCAAGGGTTGGGAAATGCAATGTACCTCCTGTTTATACTTGCCACCAGGCAGTTGATACTGATACCTTTGAAGCTGGTTCAAGGAAAGGAGGATTCGGTGCTGAGAAAGTGACCCTGTGATCTCTCATGTGATCTAAAGGGAGCTGGTCTTCAACCAGTTAGTCAGGACTCACAATTGGACGCTGTTCCAACCTAAGGTGGACCACAAATGTGGCACCATCAGCACTGTTGTTGTTTGTTGTTGTTGTTGTTGTTGTTGTTGTTGTTCTTCTTCTTCTTCTTCTTCTTCTTCTTCTTCTTCTTCTTCTTCTCCTCCTCCTCCTCCTCCTCCTCCTCCTCCTCCTCCTCCTTCTTTTCCTTGTTTCCTTGTTTGGCTTTCTTTTTCACAGGGCACCTGACCATTCTAAAGAAAGAAAGAAAGAAAGAAAGAAAGAAAGAAAGAAAGAAAGATGGCAAATGCTTTTTTTTTTAATATTAAAAAGTTGTTATTTTCCAGATCATCAGACTAGTTGATTTGAAGCATTAAAACATATAAACATGGAGGGAGGGAACAATCACACAGCCTATGTTTGTTTCTTTTTTAAAAAATAGTAACTACTTTCCATTAAGACTTTTCAATTGCAAAACAGCAGTACATTAACCAACATTTCCTACTCTCTTTTCAGAGCCAACAACCAATTTTCACTTACCAACTGTCTTTTCAGAGTTGCCAAAGATTGCAAATTCACCCAGAGCTTTACAAAATATTGAGAATTGCTATGACTTTCTCCAACAGCAAAAGAACAAACTGTTACTGTATGTACAATCAATACAGTTTATTAATCTTTGCCATTGTAGGCACAGGAGCTTTGAAGGATTTTTATTATTATTTTGCTCCTTTTTGTTTTGAAGTTTCATACCCTGCCTTTAAATTCAATTATCCTCAAGGTGGCTTAGTTTGCAATCATACAACCTTCACTTGTCAGAGGGGGCAGGTCCCTGAGTTAGGGTTGCCATATTTCAAAGAGTGAAAAAAGAAAAGTTGTTGAGCTCTTTTTGCCGTTTTTGAGCTATTTTTATGGGAAATCGGCAGTTGCTAGGAATCACAAGTCTTGTGTTGTTCATGTCCTGTTTGCAGACTTTCAACAGGACACCATGAGAACACAAGAGGCATAGCTTCCCCAGCCTTGGCCAGAGGGTGGACTTTGGTTTTTCAAATTTCAGCTGTGCCCTGTGGAAGCCCAGAATTCAGCAAACACCTTTCCCCCAACACCTCTCACCTTCCGTTCTGTTCAATTCACTACTTCATAGTTGTATCCATTGCAAGGGAACCAGTTGCCTCTGCCTAGGCCTAGGGGAAGAAGGGGCTCCTATAGGTGGAAAGGGGGCTTAATTTCATATTTTCTATTCGCCCCTTTGGCAAGATGTTTCTCTATATGAGTTAAATTGTTTTACAAATCCCATGATTTAAAGACCAAACACAGATACTTTAAAAAAAGAAAAGAAAAACTGGAGACTGGCAGTGTTGGGTGGAAGATAGACTCAACTAAAGCTTTGTAATAAATAAACCAATAACGTCCTTAATCAGAGACACATGGCGAGAAAATGGATGACATCAGCAAGGCTGGAACTGCCGCTAGCAGGAAAATAAGGTACTGTAATACCATCTGAATGGTTTGAGATCTATTTGTGGTGATTCAGCATCAAAGCCACTACATTATGAAGCAAATATTGAGATTCAGGCTGCAATTCTATACTAACTTGCTTGGGAGTAAGCCCTATTTAGTGCTGTGCTTTTAGTTCTAAGTAGACACGTATACGCGGGTGGCGCTGTGGGTTAAACCACAGAGCCTAGGAATTGCCGATCAAAAGGTCGGCGGTTCGAAGCCCTGCGACGGGGTGAGCTCCCATTGCTTGGTCCCTGCTCCTGCCAACCTAGCAGTTCGAAAGCACATCAAAGTGCAAATAGATAAATAGGTACCGCTCCGGCAGGAAGGTAAACGGCGTTTCTGTGCGCTGCTGTGGTTCGCCAAAAGCGGCTTAGTCATGCTGGCCACATGACCCGGAAGCTGTACGCTGGCTCCTAGGCTAATAAAGTGAGATGAGCGCCGCAACCCCAGAGTCGGGCACGACTGGACCTAATGGTCAGGGGTCCCTTTACCTTTACCTTAGACACGTATAGGCTTACACTGTCAGTTGTTTGCTTGATAGAACCTTCTTGAATGTATGTGGTAGAGGGCATAAGCTGTCGATCAACTGAGAGTCTGAGCTTCTATGGATTTGTCACAGTTTAGGAAAATAAGGGATAGTTCTCTGCAGATATTCTCATTCTCAAGAAGAAACTGAAATAAAAACTGTCCAAGTCAGACATTGATTATGCATCTGTTTTATGATGTTGTGCAAGAGCATAAAACAGACCAGGCTATCTGTAAAGAGGTTTGGGGCCTATCTGACTTCCCTATCCCATAAAATTGACTAGATAAATGCATCCATGCAAGCAACAAATCAACGACTCATATTTTTAATATGTAATTGGCTGATTGTATTATGCCAAAAGAACAACAAGTCATAAAGCGAGCTCAATATATTTACATGCCCATCAGATACAGTCTCCCTTTCCATCTCTGTTACTTTCCATCAGACTACATATCCGGAGCATTTTAATTATAGATATCCACAAGAAAGTCAGATTTTCCTGACCAACTCAGCACATAAAACTTTCATCTAATCTATTTTTTATGTCCCAGAAGAAGAAAAGAAGATGGGTAATCAGAGTGTAACAAATAAATATGAAAGGAATTTTGATGTTTCCCCAGAAATTCCAAGGCTTTCTTGGTACTGGGGTGAGCAGTTCAGAGCAATTAGTAGCCACCCTCTTGTTTCTTCTACATTTTACAAAATGATAATTGGAATAGAGGGCTTGAGACTTTTAGGACTGCTACCAACAGTTCCCAGTCAGGGAGTGGGGATGAGGGCTCAGGCTGGCCTCTTATCACAAAGAAGAGAGCATCTGCATAAATTTTGCATATGCTAATATATAGGCATTGCTTATGCTGTGTGGGTTATTTCTCCTGGGGTTTTTTAATATATATAATTTTTATTGAGTTTTCATTTTTCTACAAATCAAATTAAACATTTTACAAATCCAATGACTTCCCTTCTCCTTCCATGGTTCACATTACATATAATAGTTTCCTGCATATTTTACTATAACCATTCAAATCAATATTTTCCACTTTTACATCAATCAACTATTTATTTCTCCTGTTTTTATGATATATATTTGAATTGTGCATTTATGTTTATGGTGGCAAAATTAGTGTCTGTACGTTTACATTCCCTCAGAACTGTTCCCTCAGAACTGTCTACGAAGTGTCATAAAATTCCCCACACTGGTTCCGACTGGTTATAACAAAGAAAATTAATCTCAAAGAGCTCGCTTTTGCTAGCTGTTGTTGCCTGAAATGAATGTGTTGCTAAGAAAATCATGGCGGGTATAAATTTTATAAGATTGCACAGCTTTGCATATCCTGCATTTTTTTTTTTTAAGAGACTCCCTACATGGTGATCTAAGATGTGGGATACCTATGTAAACTCTACTCCTACGTGTGGTCCTGAAAGGAAAGCTAATATTTTGCGGTATTAATTGGTCCCCACTGAGATGCCATCATTTGATCCCTCTATGGAAAGTACTACTACTACTTAGGTCAAAACCACAGACCCACTTTAGCAGCCAAGCAAGAATGTCTGTGGTTTTGCTTTAGGAACATGATGAAGCTTGCAACAGCCTTCAAGCAGGTGAATAATCTGGCTAAGTCATTGGGTTTACACGTGGCTAGGGGAACAAACCTATTGTGGTTCAGTGCTGAATCAGGACCCAAATTCCTCTCGTATTTCTGCTTACAGACGGAATGACAGAATGAGGATAATTACTTAATTGCTCCTCCCCCTTAATATTCCCCAGGCACCATACAAACTGCCCACACAATTCTCAACAGTGTGGGTCTGTATGACAGCTCTACCCATTCTTCATTCATCTGCTTTCACTGAAGAACCTGCATTCAGATTCCCAGCAATTTTAAATTCATTGGGACCTTGTTTGAGTACCTAAAAGAACAGCACCTTTGTAGTTCCAAAGAGAAAGTTCACATTTTGTCATCCTTTGACAAATCTTCCAATTGGTGTGGCTGCTCTTCCTAAGGATTATCGGTCTCATATTATAACATGTGTATGGTATCACTGCAAGTTTAGATATTAGATTCAGTATTTAGAGTCCCTTATAGCTTTTTATCATTGTGAAAACAAGTTTTAAAATCTACAGGCTGTGCCTATACATTGTTCACATGTATAGGAGGGAATTGCATAGCAAGCCATCTCTTACGGCTTTTCAGTGCCTGCTCAGACAACAACATCCTCCATCCCAAATCTCTACAGGCACCTCCAGACTACAGTGGTACCTCGGGTTAAGTACTTAATTCGTTCTGGAGGTCCGTTCTTAACCTGAAACTGTTCTTAACCTGAAGCACCACTTTAGCTAATGGGGCCTCCTGCTGCTGCCACACTGCCGGAGCCCGATTCCTGTTCTTATCCTGAAGCAAAGTTCTTAACCTGAGGTAACATTTCTGGGTTAGCGGAGTGTGTAACCTGAAGCGTATGTAACCTGAGGTACCACTGTAATAGTATTTTGCAGGAGGGATTCAGGTGCATATAACAATTAAAGTAGATTAATTGTGTCATCCTAGTGCAACAACAGACAAGCAGATTTCTTGCAGTTAGGAAAATGAAAGCATTGAAAAGTGTGGCATGAACAAATGACTAACATTAAGATGTGAAAACACCCGACAAGCAAATCATGATGAATGTTTGTTGTCATATAGCTGCCCCACAAACAAATCAGAACAAATGCATAACGCAACCATAGAATATTTACACGAGCAAATGAGGATGAATGCTCAATAAATAAGTCATCTGGATGATCCCTCTGTCTGCCCCATGTCTATGGCTGATTTTGGAAGAGGAAGCCCTTCCAGACTGAATAGATATTGTGATGCAACTTTTATGAGCCTGAGTAATTAAGACTTGAGGTTAGCCAGAGACATGCTGAGATAAGCCATAGAAGAGCTCTCTTCAGAAATGCATGTATGGTTCTAGAATTAAATCAGCAGCTGACTCCAGAACATTTTAACATAGAAAGAGACAAGGCCTTAGCACTGTCTCCTCACGCAGAAACATCTTCTACCCAGGGCTTTGCTTTCATCCAGAACTCACTGGACCTCAGTTCTGGCACCTCTCAGGCAAGTGCCATTGCCATTCTAAGAGAATGAGGGAGCTGTTCCTGGTGACTTCTGGCACCTCTTTTTCTAGAAAAATAGCACTGCCTCTACCAATGCATCTTCTTTTTTTGATGGACATCATTTTAAGGAA